TAAAATTCGAGTTTCAGCTTGAGAAATTTCATTTGATTTTAGACGGTTTTCAATTTCTAAAAAAAAGTACAATAAAATCAGATATTTTTATCGTTGTTATATCTAATAGAAAATGCTACATTTCTCCCGTCCGCATCTCCAAGTTGCTTCAAAAATGGAAGTACTATGGTCTTATATATTTTCTCTGTTAATACAAGTGATGGTGGACAACGGCAATGTAATTAAAAGAATAATCGTGGTGGAGGTGGATCTAATCCTCACTATCTAAGTAAATTACAAATAATTCAATTATTTGTAATTATATGTATACATTATTGTTTTAGGTAATCGTGCTGGTAATTACTGTGATGGACATCGAGGCGGTGCTGCTGGTTATAATGGTAATGGATGTTCAAAATGATCTTAACATCAACAACATAATTAACAACAATAATTGACTATTTGAAAGATCGCTTCGTATGTTTTTTTTTCTCGCACTCAATTAAATGAACTTTATTCACGATGATACTTTCTTGTTTATTGAGTTGGTTTTGTTAAAACTTTTTAGACTGATGATGAAAGATGTGTTTTTCACCGTTTCTTTTCTTGCTCTTTCTTCTTTTGTTTTGTTTGCGCGATAATCATGAGCAGATGATAATAAGAAAAGAGACGAATACGTTATCTAAACATCTATTGCATGAAATAAGTCTATTAGATATTAAAGTATTCACAAGCAATTTTACAATTTTCACATAATAGATCAACAAAAACGAACGTTTAAATGATAAATCTGTTTAGTAATAATAATATTGGAACCGGTTAACCTTCTATAAAACAAACAATCATTAATAGATTTCATAAGAAAGATATATGATTTAAATTGAGCATGGAGTTGACATAAGGATCAAAACTAAGAACAGTCATGATTAAATTTCTATTAAGGATATTATAATATAACAAAATTATTAGAAACTATCTTAATATATAAATTATGGTTTATATCAATAGTGTCGTCAACAAAGTCCTATTCGACTGCCACTTGTAAAATTATTGATGATTCGTTTGAAAAATGCAAGATGTTTGAATATCGTGTGCATCACTGGACAAAGAAAGGATAATAAATGGACCGTTGTTTTCATCGCGTTCTAAATGACTATGAAAAGTTGCATAGATGTCTATATTAACATGTATATATCTGGCTTATTTTAGTCATCTATCAATTATATATCCTGTCTGATTTGTCAAATATCTTTTGTCTCTTTATTTTTATTCCATTCTATACATGTATATAAAGAGTGAATAACTACCTCCTTCATCAAAATAAAATCTTCTAAGCCATTATAGCATATCGTATGTTTATCGTTTAATTTATCTGGTACTGATAAAATATTATGTCAGCGTTTATGAACAAGCCTGATGATGCACACAAGATGGTTTACATCAAATCTGAACTAATGAATTTCAATGAAATGGCATCGTCTAACATCGTACAAGGTGAACAAAATAATCATTTAATGGTAAGATGATACTTGTAAACAATGAAGATTGTTTTTTTTTAATATTTAGATGTTGAATAAATTCATTCAAATTGCTGCAAATGATACTGAACGTGTATCATATTATTCGAAACGTGCAAAAGTTTTATTTGATATGAAAAAATGGAATGGTAAATTACTATCAAGATTATAATTGTTTATGAGTATATGTCTTTTTAGATGTGTTGATCGATATAGCGTTTTTGGAAAAGAACCAAGCACTTGATGATGATTTAGTAACCATTAAATTGTATGTTAAGTTTGTTTTGACAGTATATCTATATAAAGTGTAATGTTCATTTTAAAGGAAGTCCATGATTCATCATGAAGTAGCAAAAGTTCGAAATTCTATGAAAGATAAACTTGGCACTAAACGTAAGATAATTTTATTGCATAAGAAGATGTATCATCTGAAGTTTTTTTTAAATAGTATTGGACAATGATGAACATGTCGATTTGTATATTAATATCAGCGAAGAGAACATAGATGAAGTTCTTAATAGTAAGTTCAAAAACAAATATTATAATTGATTATTTATTTATGCCATGTTCTTTCTAGAGAAGCACACAAGAAAGAATCATACAACGTCAAAAAGAAAATGCAAAGATTAAAATTTAACATGTTATATTTTTATTTACTGTTAATAGTCGTTCTTTCTCGTGTTAATCTGAATATATCTTGAGAGTTTTTCTTAATTTTTTTCTTCAAACAATCACTTATTTATTGAGACTGTTGGATTCTGGAAATAAATATTNAGCGCTGCATAATGAGCGGTTAGCTGGCTTACAAAACCCATCCTTTCCAGACTTATGAAGTTCAATTGCGAAATAGGTGCCGTCTCTGGTCATTCATCATAATTCTCTTTGTACTTAAGGAATCGAGCTGAAATAGTGCTTCTGATCTACATTCTTGACGTAGTATATGCACACACATTTTCAGGTCTTCAGCACCTATTATGGCTGAGATCATCTCGGGGGAAGACTTTTGTCGTCTACTGTATATATATATCATCATTTTTGTAACTAAAGTGTATTTCTCAAAGTTTAGTGTTAGTATTTGCATCACTGAATGACAAATATTCCTATACACTGTGAAAGCTTTCGGAATTAGTTGAATATTCTGTTTCGAAAAGAACGTTCAAAATTGATAACCACTGGCATGAAGAATCGCTAGAAGTGTAGTAATTCTCAACACTAAGTATGTGTTTTTGTCAGCAGGCATAAATCCATTTCTTGAATTTCTAATCGAAGTATAAAATATTTCAAGTATGGAGAATTACCACGCTTCCAATCAGTCTCAAAATCAATTATAATTGATCAAAAAAAAAAAAAAAAGAAGAATACTGAAAGATGTGAGCTTTAAACCAATTCTGAAACGTTTCTTTCGTTTTTCATGACTATCGACTACAGTTTCGAATAAAGTAAAAAGAAATTGATAATGGTTGATATAAACAATCCACAGTAACTACATTTTTAACAACGAAAAAAAAATTTTATCTTTGGCATTATGCTCTAGGAATTAATGCATTCTTATTTGCAAGCACTGATAAAAATCCAAAATAATGATTTCAATAGAAGATTTAATTTAAAACAAGATTATTTCAAAATAAAACGAATTGCTTATTTCCCAAGAATAGAATATCTGGATAACTCCGAACCAAGTTTTTTAGAGGCCCGTTTTTTTGAAAAATTATTGTTGAAAATAAAATTCTCTATTGTAATAACTATTTAGATGCTTTTCAACGCTTACAGTAACGAAAAACAAACTTGGTCGAGTAATACAATAAATTTCTCTAAACAACCAAATATTCTGTATTATTCAAACACTATAAAATTATAGATGGAGGGAAAAGAAATATATAAACTTACAGTTCAAGATACCTACTACCTCATCTATTACTTCTCGATGATCGAAGCATCATACGCTGTAATAATCTTTTTTCGTGTAAATAATTTCAATTTTGATAAACAAAAAAATTTTCGGTACGTTGATATCATAACTAATGCCACCATACTTGTGCTATGTGATTATGTATCATAAGAAATTTTTTGATAGAATCAATGATCATTAATCACTTCAACAACAAAAAAATACTATTCATCACGGATATACTGTGACAGAAAAACAAAAACTCTTTTTAAGAAAAAGAACACCGCTACATAAAAAAAAAGAACTGCTTGTTCACTACATCGAATATTTCAAAGCAATATATTATTCTTGAAACTTGTCATTTAATCATCTATTGCCGTATCTAAATTGGTTTCATACCATGAGCTTATATATAATCTAGTCATATCACAGATGAGAGATTTATCAGGTATTTTTTGATTTGTACCATAGATCACAGCCTAAAATAACACAAAAAAAAAGATCATCTTCAAGATCTAACTTTTATACATTCCTAATTTTATTAGATAAACTTATGTAGGGATTTTTTTCAGATGTTGATCACATCAAATAAAATTATCTATGGATGAAAATTAGAGACGTAGAGGATCAACTATTTTCGTACTCTGTACTTTGACTAAGAAAATTCTTTTTTTGTTCTAACCTTACCATACTCTGTTGAACCGCTACTCTTACTTTATCCTATGAAGCTTTTATCTCACTCTCTCTTGATGCTACGCTAGTTAGACGACTCAACAGTGATGATACGGATTGTAGACTCGCTGATATGTCGGCAGACAATTCGGTCTGACCTTTTCAGACTAGAAACGTGTGCGGTATCAGTTTACTGACCACTGACTGTATGGTATGACCTCATCCTGATAGAAATATGAATGCATAGAAAGCTTTTACTAAATGAGAGCATATCGGTTTGATTGTTTTTCATATTGTTTTGTCTTACAGTTGATTTTATTCAACATGATATTCTGTTAGAAAATGAGTGGATTATTGCGTTACTATCCCACATAATATATGTCATGTTTTGCTTAATATTTTCTACTCTTGTTTTTCTTTTATCTTTCTTCCTCTTCTCTTCTCTTCCAATTATATTGTTGATTCACTTTCTCACTTTAATATTTTGACTTGCATGGTTGAAAAGTGAAATCGATTATTTTTGAGATTACCGTTCGCATTTTGTTGGTCGATACATCGTATTATGCAGTTTGATAAGAGAAAAGAAAGAACTCGACTCTTTTTTCGTCTTGCTTCTTCAAATATGAATACCACTCACATTCAATTAATAGTTCTTATTATTCTTGTACGAAGATAAGGATGTGATACATTGAGTGTGAGGGTATGTGATGAATTCCAACAGTCACACGTATCCACATTCACTTTAAATAAAGGCAGTAATGATGTATACTTTGACAGAATCAGTGGCTCATTGAGCGTCGATAACAGCATAATCAGTGTCCTGGTGAATGTCAGTATTTATATTGGAACCGCAAACCTTTAATTCAGACCGATACCGGCCGTGCAAAAATCTAGACTACTTCCCTCTCTGTACAGCTACGTTTATTAAAGTTCGATGCAGTTAATTATATACTTACTGTTACTGTATCTGTTTTATTATCAGATTTTAAAATTTCATCAACACATTGTTGTGTATCTTCAAGAAGTTTTTCAACAATACCCGGTTGAGTATGAACTTGTGTAACAGCAATATGAATACTTAAAATAATATAAAATTTAAAAAAATGAACAATTGTTTTTTTCAATTTTATTTTTTAATATACCCTGGTGGATTTTGTAAACCAATTAAATGCCATCCTTTTTCATGTAAACCATCGAATAAATAATAAATATTAAATTTATTTGAACTAATTGCCACAACACTTACATCTGGTTGATGTAAAAGATAAATACCATCAATTTTACTCCATCCATCAGCTATATATCGTGCTATTTGAATAATTTTTCGTGTTTCTTCAATATAACCTTCAAGACCATAATACATAAGTGTAGCCCAACAACAAGCAATTAAATAACCAGAACGACTACCAGCAACTGTTGGTGAACCATAAATTCCACCTGGCCAATCCGCTACAGCAAAGAATTGATGTTGACGAAGTTCTGCATTTCGATAGAGAATCACCGAAGTACCTTTTGGTGTAAAGCCATACTAAAAATAATTTCTTTTATTATTCAATAAAAAAAAAACAAACAAAAACTTTACTTTATGTGTATCGCAACTAATACTCATCACACCCGGTAGACGAAAATCGAATGGTTTTAATGGAAAACCAGCTTGATCCATAAAAGCAATAAGAAAACCACCTAAACAAGCATCAACATGTAATGGAATATTATATTCCATAGCAATCTAAATATAACAAAAATGAATTCATTGTAACACAAGAAAGAAAAGCTTAACATAAATACTTTTGAAATATCTTCAATTGGATCAATAACACCATGTGGAAAATTCGGCGCTGATGCAACAAGCTAAAGACTAAGAATACTTAATCTAAATTAATAGAATACGTTTTTTTACCATGCAAGTATTTTTAGTTATTGCTCGACGCATTTGATAAAGATCAACTTCACGTGTTTGAGGATTTAATGGAATACGTTTTAATTTTATTTTAAAATAGCAACAAGCCTAAAGTTAATTTTTTTTGTATAAAATTAACAATCATATATATATATATATATAAATCAACATACTTTGTTAAATGCTGGATGTGCTGTTATCGGCATGACTCTGAAAAAATTTATATTTTTATTATTAATTTAATGGGTGAATGATAATGAATAGACCTCTCAATATTTTACATATGCTTACTTGAACAAAATAGTATAACTTATTTGTTTAGACATAATGTAACGAATAGATTAAGAATACCCTACTTTCAAAATTCTTCATTTTTTTTTTTTAGTCCGAAAGAAGTTCTAATGAAGTTTTCAGAAGAATTGAAGAATTATCTATGCTTGTTAATCAATAAGATAGAAATTGATAGCAGTTCATTTGAAACGTTGTATATAGAAATTGCTTTTCTGAAAAACGAACTATGGAGATAATTCTTCTAGATACGCAAGATAATCAATATTTCTTTATGAATAATCAAAATCGAAAGAAGACTGATGGATGAACACATGCACAAAGTTTCACAGGAGTTGTACTAATTTAGCTTTTATTCATTAACAATAATAGTTAAGTTGTCGAATTTTCTGAAGACTTCATTAGAACATCTTTCGAACTGGTAATTGATTGAATCACTCGCCAAGTCCAATGCAAAAAACTTGATAAAAAGAAACGAATTTAAAAAGTGATGTATTCTAAATATCTATTCGGTTCATTAGGTTTAAACAAATAAGGTATACTATTTCGTTTAAGCAAAAAATGCAAATTTGTAGAAAATTGAACGAAGAATAGATCAATCAAAGCATGTTCTATTCACTTTTTTGTTGATTAATATCATGGTTGAATTATCAAACAATAGTCTATAGAATTTTATTGATTCAAAGAAAAACAAAAAAACTTGAAAATGCAATCAATAATAAATCCTTTTTTTTAATATGTATGCTTAATAAGTAGAATATTCTACATCAATATCATATAACCAATAGAAATATCATTTATTGTATCAAATATCTCTTTTTATTATTATATAATAAGTATTTCTTTTGATCACAATCATTATTACAAGCATATAAAAACTATGATATTACATAAAATAACCTTGAGAATAACTAAAATACTTTTCTTTTAATAATAAATTAGTTTATTCATGCAGAAAAGATGTGTCAATTTGAAAAGGCTAAACAAGTCTTGCAATGAATCGATTATATCTGATTCGAAGACATTCACTAGCGTTTTATTATTATAATATTTTTTTTTTTGGCTCTAATCCTATTCTATTGACGATGCATTCATTTGCATTGATTACGGTTTCTTATTGAGCTAATGCTCCCTTGGAATGTCTTCTTTTGTTTCATATTCATTGAGTTAATCAGTAATTCGTCGTTATTCATTGTGATTATCATCATACATTGACAGTCTCTTTATTTGTTTAACATTCTAGGGTCTCTTTTTTTCTCTTGCATACTAGAGTCCAATTAATTGTTCTTTTTTTTTGTCGCTTATTCACAGTGACCGGCAGACATAAATAAACGATACAAACATTTAATGACACATACACACGTCTGATGTTGACAAAGCTCAATCGCTATTCATATTCATACCTTTATAGTATGAAAACACGCACGACTCTGATTGATTGAAACAAGCTTGAAACATGTAGCCCTATTCTTTCGTTTTTCAAGGTATCCTCTTCTCTTCTCGTTACTTTATATGTTCTCTTTTTAATGAAACATATAGAATAATATAGAGAACGATGAAAGAGATGCAATAAAAAAACCAGCAAAGAATAGATGTTAAATATCCATTGAAGAGAGAACGTAAAGAAGAAGTCACTTTATTGCTGTCTGACTACATCGTATACTTGAGTGCCCAACCGTTCTGAGTAAGTCATCATCATTTGTTTGTGACAATAACAAGAACAAATGCCGACAGAAAAAAAAAGAGGATAAGTAGTAGGTGGCGGAAAAGAGTCTCTATATTGACTGTCATTTTATTATAGAAACACGTAGATAAGCTATTGGCTTGATTATTTATTACAAAAACAATGTCTCTCATCTCGTGCATATCTTTTTCCATCGTTCTTTACATATGTATCAACAAACAATGCGTATGCATGTCGGCATAGCCTCTTTCTCTTGGATAAATGTTGTAAATTACTGGAAGCAATCATGCAGAGATATACATATATATACGTATATAGACGCATACTTGACTAGAATAGATATAGATAAGATGTGAATGTTGTCCATCACATTAATGATAAATATCCATTTAACGATATCAAGGTGCAGGTGTTTGTCAAATGTATTATAAGTAGAATCTTTTCTTTTTTGTCCGACAAAAATGAATGAACTAATATTGATCGCAATCAGATGTAACGGAAAATGACTACCTCGCTAAACATATGTTACTAGTAGAGAAATATATAATATATTCAAGAAGGATTTTAATTATAAAATGACATTGCCCTTTTGAATAATTTTCAGTTGTAGAATAAGGAAATACTTCTCATAAATCCTCATTCGATATAATACTATGAAGAGGATTTAAAAGATAAAGAACAAAATCGTTTAGTATAATGATGGTAACATATATATTAAAATAGAAAATTAGTGAGAACAATGAAGGTGTCAACCTATTGCTTAACACATCAATCCACTGCCTATTTTCTATTCACACATAATATTGAAGTGTGATTGTAATACACTTGTCCCCTTCATTATAGTACAGAAAAAAAAAAAAAAGAAAAAAAAATTTGATATGTTGTGTTTTGCGGAAGTACGATCTAATTCAAATTTTTTTTCTCGTCATCTTCATCTTCTTCGTCTCCTTTTTTGTATTCTATATGAAGACCAGATACGTGCGTATGTGCGAACTTTTCTGGCGGAAATTAGAGCATGCGCATTTAATTGCAGTCTCGTTAGCTGTTACTGACCGCGTGACTGCTTCTTGTCAAGGCAAACGATCTCGTTCACATCATACACATAGACACTGTCGTTCGAATGCGATTAATGGCATAATAGTTAGAAAGATAGAAAGATAGGAGCATCGTTTTTTTTTCTCTCTCTCTCATTTAATTCGGCTTGAATCAACTACATTAGTTCGATGAACGAGATAGAGCAAGTTCCGGAGAGATTTCATGCCTATGGTGCGTGTTCTGTTGCATTTAATCGATCTTATAGAGGCGTAAGCAAGATACTTGCGGTTGTTTGTCACACAAACATTTCTCTTCAGCAAAGATAGAGCGAAAAGAATACTAAGACTGACTATCCATAATTGGATCGAGAAACATGCAAGAAAAGAAAATTTTTCTTTCAGTCTTTTTTTTTCTTTCATTCGACGATGTTCTCGACAGGTATCGTTTGTCTGTATATAGAATTTTTTTTATTTATTTATTTTAATGTCAAGTCTGAAGAAGACTCTCTCTCTAATAGAGTATCACTTGAGATTTCGTCGTTTACATTCAAGTAATAATCGAGAAAAACACTCGGAAACTCTCGTAAATATATGCATCTGTCAAAATATGAATGACTATCTCATGCAATCGTTCACTTTTTTCTAATTTTCTAATCATTATTTATTAATTACATATGCATTCATCTAAGTTAGAAAATTACTTAGTATACAAACATTGTCATCGATTGATTTATATTATTTAATCTTTTGATATATTTCAACAATACAACAATAGGTACTGTCGTTTTCTTTCTTCTGTTTTTCATCGGATTCTTTCATGATGTCAAGAGAAAGTGAAGTGGTCATTCTCTTTTCCGTTTCTTCAGTCAACTGACCATGTCATCCATCGTTTCTTCGTTTTTCTTTTCTCTGAACACCAGTCATAGTTTTGTTCTGAACTAACAGAATAGAACAAAATAGAAAAAAAAGAAAAAGCTAATCACAATAGCATCAACAGTGTCGGCCTCGTTTTAAGGTTACGTCTCGAATGATACACAACTGTTAACGATAATGCCATTATACATTGGTATTTTCTTTTGTTGACATCAACTAAACATCATCAATCACAACTAGAAAATGTGAGTCAACGATTTATTTGAACAGAAAAAAAAAGTCGAGCTGAAATAACCATATTACGATACTGCTGTTGCTGATGATGAGGATGATAGAATAGAAGAACACAAAAAAAAATTGAATCACCAGTGTTTTTTTTTCAAGTGATCGAATGACTACATAAACCATTCGAAAGTCAAGTGCACCTACGTGATTTGGTTATCACATCGAATCACATATAGAAAAAAAAAAAAGTCTGCCTTCCTTCACATACTGCCAATTTTTACTGAATAAGATTAATAAACATTTAGTATGAATCATATCCGTATATCGACGCTTTTTTTTTTTTCTCAATTCATTTGAATTATGAATACTGATTTACTGGTGAGGTTTTATTTTCATCTCCAGGCTAATATATATAATGGAAATTCTATTTCCTTGTCGATTGCTTTTGTCTGACTATTTTGACTAGCAGACTTGATTTGGTAATAAATATTCATCTGTATGAAAAGTAAAAAAAAAGAACTTAAGAATAGACACGACAAGTAAAGTAAAGAGAAATATCCAACTTGTATCCTTCCGTATTATTTGAACTCCTGTGGTAGAAAAAAAATTGCTAGTCTTTTTTTTCTTCTTTTATTCAGGTCAATCGATGTGTCTGCGCTTTTGCAATGAGAGAAGAACAAAAAAAGAAAGAAACGAGAACGAGAGTAATAACAATGTAATTGTGTTTTTGATGAGAACAACTGAATTACTCTTTTCCTTTGATAGGTTTTCTTTTTTTTTTTATTATTACTTTACATTCCATTGCCTTTATATACAAAACACCTTTTCTAATTGGATCATAACTTATATAGACGATTTCTTGTGTGTTCTTTTTATCTACTGTTTATTTATATTGAACGGTCACTAAAAGCATTCAACTCTCGCTAATGATAAATACGTCAATTCCGATCAGATATATTCTATATTTCTCTTAGCTTTATCGAACAGAGATATTGATCCTAATTTTTCTTTTGTTTTGTTTTTAATCTCACAAAATACCATTAAGTACAAGATTTCATTCTCTCACGCTTAATCTTCCAGATAATAATTTATTTCTGGACGTGATATGATTTTTTTTTCTCTGTTGTTTTGTTTCCCTCTCTTTATTCTCTCAACCATATTAAGACAAAGCTAACTCGACTTTGATTGATGATAAGACATAGAGAATTAGATCGATCATTACCATAAGTTCTGAAAATACAAGTATTTTTCTCTCGTTTTCTTTAATATATATTTACGAAAGTATCTTGTTTTTTTATCATTATATATATAAACACATTTTTATATCTATTTAATATCTCTTTATAGAAATCAATCGAGCATGATACGTATAACCATGAACAAAAACAAGAATTTATCATAAATCTATTGAAGAGACCGAACAGAGAAATAACAAGTGTATATGTGTTTATACTAGCGTAAGTAATAATGCAATAAGACAGATTCTATGTTACATTTGAATTAGTCGAGCAACAAAAAAAGAAACGAAATGATATGTCTCAAGAAATAAAATGCATTTAAAATTTAATAACATTTATTTTAGAAACATCAATGGAATGGATTTTTCATTAGTAAATTTGTTTATTATTCTTCTCATTATATTAATTGATTATTCATCATTTATTAATGCATATGATTTTCAATGTTTAACATGTGACAATTTTATTGATGGACCTGGTTGTGGAGAATTTACACGAGAAATACCTGTAAAAACATGTAGAACATATTGTTATTTTGCTGTTATATATAATCGTTCATTATCATTATCTATAAATCAACGTGAAATATCTTCGAATACATTAACAAGAGCTATACGTGATTGTTCACCTTATGAAGATATGTCAATTGAAGAAAATTTATTACTTGAATCAAAAATTGGTAGATTATCATCATCTATTGATATAATAACGCTTAAACGTTGCAACAGTGAACAATGTAACAATGAGTTTTATATAAAACCTGATGAATTTCTTTTCGGTAGATGTTCATCATATCGGCAAATATCATTTCCAGTTTTGATTTTTCCTTTTGTGATTATTTTTTATTAATAGAAGAGCATGTTTTGAAAATAACAAAAAAAAACAAACAACGTTATTCATTTCTTTTTTCTTTTTCTCTAAATGGACTGATTCGAAGCTTAAATGCATACGTAATTATGACTACTGAGTCCGATAGATGAGAGCAAACGTACACACATAAATATAATCATCATCGTTGATGTGTCTATTATAAGAACTTACCGCCGACTGTTTCTATTCTCTTCTCTTTCGTAATGTGTCAACAAGTGAGAAAAAACGACATACGAATAATTATATATATATGTACAATAGTAGAAATTGCTCAATAGGAATATAAATACGTACATTAACCTCCTACTGTCTTTTTATGATATAACCTACTATGAATTGACTTACATTTCAGGTTTAGTAATGCCTTTAGAAATTGCTAAATCACGATAAGTTTTACACGCCATTAATATTGATTCAGTACCACCAGACGTCATCTAAAATTAAGATAAAAAAAAAAAAAAACAACTAACGTTTTGAGAATTTAAAAAATATTACTGTTCCACAAACATCTATATCACCATGAAACATCGTTGCTACACATCGAACAATTTCAGCTTCCATTGTACGAATATCAGGAAAAACATCGACATGAAGAGGATTTGATTCACCAAATAAAGTAAAAATCTATCAAGAAATATAGATTTTTCAATAGATTTTATTATGATAAAAATTACTTTATTATAAATTTCTGTCATATCTGTTTTTGCTAATTTATAAACACATCCAGAAATTTGTCCTGAACTAAAATTAATTTTTTCTAGTTTTCGATATTGTTCAAGTTTCTTTATAAGTTCTTCCTAAGAAAAGAGACAATGAAAAAAAAAAAAAAAACCTTATTTTTAATATTTTAATTAATTGAGAATTTTACTTGAGATAATCCTTTTTCTGGTAAAACTTTAGTAAATTCATGCCCAGCAACACTTTTTGCTAAATCATTACAAACTGTTTTCAATGTAGATTCACGTGCTTCAGCAATTTTACGTTTTACATTAGGTAATCGGCGAGCCATACCAAAGATTATTTTTTGAATACGTGTAGAAATATCTATGATAAAATAAAAGCATATAATTACATATTCTTGATACTCAATTGTTTATATAAAATAATTTATCGATAAGTGAAGTAATAACTACGTTCTTTCAAAAACAAAAATAATAATGAGACTTGATTATTACCATTATCTCCGATGTTATTTAAAATCAACTTGAATTCAATCATTCTGTTTCACGTATCATCATGAATATATATTAACAAATTGAAATCTCACACAGAAAGTTCCTCAAATAATTAATTGATTTTGAGTAGAGACATTTTCATTAATGCCGTATTCCTTCTTTGAAACACTAGATAAACTAGTGTTCGAACTGCAACTTGAAACTTTTCATATAGACTGGATCCATTGACAATAGTTTACTATGAAAGTTACAAATATTTTCATTGTTTCTTTCGTAAGATAATTACATCTATGATATAAATTAGCTTTTTACATTGCTAATATGTACCGATAGATTTAATTTTCTTGTTTCAGGAATAGAGCAAATCAAAAGAATGAATCTTTCACAATAAGCTAATCTGGTTAAAATGTTTTCGAAAGAAAATACAATACTGACTTAAAACAAGCGTAAAAATTCAGTATCTCCGCAGCAATAAGCTAAGAGCTTGAACTCTTTTCAGGGCATTCATAGCTTACTAGGGTCTACATGATGCGTATAGTTCGAACTCCAAAGCAATTAATCAGTTAGGAAACTTCTCTCGTTAAGTATCTATTATTGTCCATCCATTGACGTGTACACTAAAAGGAAATAGCGGACTTGAAGATCGAAGTCTTTACTGTTTTATTTTCTCAGAGCACATTGTCTTTAATTTATTATATTTATATTTAAACCATTAAGTTAAAGATATATTTAAAAAAGTTTTTTCCTTTATCTATTTTCTTGTACTCGAAGGCGGGCATACTTATTTTCAAAATTTACCTTCATCATGTGAAAATAAAAATTGATAGATGCTTAAACCACATGTAGTAGCTATAGCAGTAATTGCAATTAATTGTAATGGCGACAATGAATTAATCAATTGTTGATTTACTAAAGTAGATTTTTCTCTTAAAAAATTGGCTTGTGGTTCGAATTCATGTAGTATTTTCTAAATAATAATTACGATATTGATTTCATAAATTAATAAAAAAAAAACAATTTACCATATATAATGATTGAATAGTATCCATATTCAATGTTTACACGATAAAAAATTGTTAGTTATCTACAAGTTTCAAAGAATACATATATATTCAGATAAGATTTCATTTTTGACTTGAATTCAATAAAAAAAATAAATAAAGTCAGCTGTAACGTTTAATATAATAAATCTTTATTACATCATAAAATTAATTCAATGTAAATATCAAAATTTACAATCTATATATTTTATATTGTGTTGTTGGGATATTTTTTTAAGAACGAATAGAGTAAAATACGAAATATGTAACGTTCACCTGTATTATGTAAAAGTACATTTTCTACCATATAGTAATATTCTAGATCATAAACATCTTTTTCTATATAAAAACGAATTTTTCTCTTTGTCGTTAACAACACAATACGTTTTATGAATATAACAGAAAGAAAAATGATTCAGTTTTCGATCATTACCATCAGTAGATGAATGTTGCAAATAATAACTGTTCTATTGGATAAGCAGTTTTGAATTGAGTTGATTTTGAAAATTTTTGACAAATTGGAGGTCGCTAGTGAACAGATTCTTTGTTCATATTTGAAATCTCTATTGGAATTCTTTGAACTAAAGTCTTATTCAAATGAATATAATTGACAATAAGTATATCAATTCAAACTCATTCAACTTTAAAATTAGAAAACAATGAAGAATATGATTACTTTTGAAGAGCATATACTCTGCACTCTTAGATTGATCATATTATCAAATGAAAACATTAATATATATAGACAAATGAATTCGATCAAGCGAAAAAATGAACTATTTGAAGCATACACAATTGTTGTAATTATCGATCGTGAGCGTGCATAATACAAAAATATAGATTTTACATACTATAATAAACTTCAAGAAAGGTTAACAAAAATGATCCATTATATTTATCTGAACTCAATGAACTTTTCCATTGCTGAAGAAAAAAAAAGTAAGTATAAGTCGTTCTATTTCTACAAAAATCAAAAGAAAATGTATTAGCAGACATGTACTTACATTCAGACTTATTACATTTAAATTTCAGAAATCAATAGATTTACCATTAAAAATCAAGAACTTATCAGGCGATGAAACACGAGATTTTTATTTGAAATTATAGAAAACACGTGACAATGTAATCGTTAAGAACAATGAAACTTCTATTTCAATAAGCAGTTTTTTCTTCATCATATTAATTTGATAGCGAAAATCTTTTCTTAGAACTCATAAAAAAAAAAAGGTCTTCATTGAACTTTATATTGTCAGTCATTCCAAGGTCATACATTGCAATCTACATATAAATAGAAATGAAAGAATCTTATATGAACTATACATGAGAAGTTACTGACTATTCAGTTTGTAGCATTTCTAAATCATGATTGCATTATTTTCACAAAAAAATGGGACTTTACATAGAAAAATGTGGGCTACCGATGAAATGATGTACAATAATAGTGAATGAGTGCACTTGCTTAAAACTCTGCTCTGACTAATGAGTGAATTCATCGAATCGATAAATCACTTGTGAATGAAGATCTTGTGTATTTTATGCATTCAAATGTGCTACGAGTATCTTGAGAAGAGTTCATGTTCTGTGCTTATTACTATGAAGATGCTATTTAAATAAATGCTGCACTCCGTCTCAGAAATATAAGAAAATTTAGTTTTTGAATTTCGACTTAAAACTTTGCATAGAGGCAGGCCGTAACAAGAGTAGTTTATTGTGGATGTTTCGCGTCTTTTGATTTATTTCTATCCTGAAATATAAGCACCAAACCTGCTAGTTTAAACGAGCGATCTAAAAGACATGATATCACCATAGTTATATTTTAGAATAGGAACAGCGATAAAATCTAAAACATTCACAAAAACCTATTCTCGTTAACGCTTTTCTCTATGCAAAGTTTCAAGTCGAAATTTGAAAATCAGTTTTTCTGATGTTCTGAACTAAAGTATTCATTTAAAAGATACCATAAAGATATAATATTTCCGTAGCAATAAGCTAAAAGCACATACTATGTTCAGAATATTCATAGCTCATTAAGGTCTATATAATGCACATAGTCTCGAATCAAAGCCGATTTATCAGTTGGAGAACTTCCCTCATTAGTCGTGTATCATTCGATTTCATTAGTTATCTTATATAACTGTCATGGAACTGATAGTACCTTTACAAAAGCTACATCCATTAAACACTGCAATAAATCAGTTCTCTTTCGCGTTTTATTTATTTTTGTTATTGAATTACAATGTCTTTAAACGTTAAACTTATAACCTAAAAATTCAACTCCTGAAATCAGAAGATTTAGTAAACCTTCGTCCATCGTAGGATAGGCTTGTCGTACGATTTAGTTTATTCAATATATTGTGATTGTGATATTCCTCTTTCTATTGTGTAACTTCTTTTATTTAGTTGTTTGATTTGACACTCAGTAGAGTTCTTATTTATTATATATTTTTTTTTCCATTATTGAGTAACAATAAATCACTCATTAGATCAAATATTTCTCTAACTATGATGAAAGACATAAAATAAGAAACAAATTTATTGAAGAAAAATATTAGATTCATCAATCAAAAATGATGGTCATGCTCTTTCGTATAATAATAATAATTGATATGTCAACTACGATATTTTTAATGCAAACATAACAAAAAATCTCGAAGAAGCACTTTAAATTTACTTCTTTTGTTAAATATTCGATAAGTCAGACATTATTCTTCATTTGTATCAACTGAAAAACAAAATATGAAATGAACTTGATAAAAAAAATCGATTTGAAGAAAAACAACATAAGTATATTTTTCCGATCGACCACTTTTTTGAAACACATGTGAATAATTGAAACGATAATTATCGAATTTGAAAGCATTTCTTTTTTGACATTTTGAAGAGTAACGCTTAATGATTATAGTTGATGATGATGAAGTAGTAGTTATCAATTTTGAATTACTTTTCAATAAGATAGAATCAACAATTTTTATCTAGTGAACTTATCAGTGGACTATGATCATTTTCTTGCAACAAAAATTTTCGATAAATATACAATAGATTCTTTCGTTTTATCTACAGTAAGATAAATTCTTGGTATTAAAATCCATAGTCTTAGTTTTAGAGAATTTTAGCACATACAACATATGTTCTTATTGATGTAAAACGTCACTAAAATTTAAGATACCAAAAGACTATAAAGCTAGAAATCTCCTGACTAAATCATGAGGTTTATCAACTCTGTATAGAATTCTGTTGTACTTAAAGCATCAGAAGATTGTTGAATTTTGTAATAGTATTTATTTAAAGGTAATTTTTTTTAAATAAAATATTAAACAGCAATTCAATTGAATGGTGAACTATTTATTTTAGATACTTCCTAATTCCTAAGCGCATTTCCTGTCGTATCCAACATAAAATATAGTCTATGCAACATTTCTTAAACTGTTTCGATTTGAATTACAGAAAAAATATACTGATTCAAATTTGAATATGATATCTAGTGACATCTTGGACTTGCTAATATCTTATTTTTGCATGATGTGTTTGATTCTTCAAAACTGCAATAGCGATAAGTAATTCGATAAAAACTTTTGTAAGTTAACATATTAAAAATTGCAGTCATTTCTTCAGCTTCTTCTCGTGCATTTCATTATATCAAATAGGTAATAAATCAATTTAAAAAATCATGATCATCTATTCTTTTTTTTTTCTTTTATTTTGTGTTTTGTAATCATCACTTTCAACATCGGTGTTTTTCTTTCATCATCGTCACCCTTCTGAGCGCGTGTTTTACACACTACAGAAAAATAATATTCATAAGTTAAAGATAATAATAATAAAAAAAAAAAAAAAACTCTGCTACACACTCTTACATTATACATTCTCTTACATTGTTTGTTTTAGGAAAATTTTGTTCTATAGTTAAAATTGTTCGGTGTCATGTGAAGGTAAACACACACATTTAAAGAAAAAAAAAATTTATGTACAAACATGTTTTTCCCCTTTCTTTTACTCATACACACATAAATTTGTTTCATGTATCTTTGATGCAACAATAGATAAGTTTTGGTTCCAATGCTGCATAAACATTTTGAGATATTTGTATACGAAGAAATTTGCATAGAAAACCAAATTGTTGATTTTTTATTTGTGCAAATGGTTTAAGAATTTTTTTCAATGTATATACTGGTGATGAACAAGCAATAAGTCCTTGACAAAGATCAGTAACAAATAAACGAATATGTTCAGTTAATTGATATTGTAATTGAGGTTGTAATTGTTCCATAACTTGTAATGTTGATGTTGATGAATTATTACTCGATAATAAATAACATTGACGTTCCAAAATAAATAAAAGTTCAATTAAAATAGTTACAGTATACGAATTTGTAAACAATATTGGATCCGAAAATGGACTCGTCGATGCAGCTAAATAATTAAAGAAAGCACATGTTAATTAAAATTTCAAATTTTTTTTTAATTCGAAATTGATAGACAATGTCAAATGTAAAGATATTTGAAGATTATTTATCTTAGTTTTTATTGTTTCTTATCCTCACTAGAGTCTGTCCCAATCACGAACCTGATAGGGTTCAATAGCTTAAGACATGTAGAGTACGGAAGTCACGGAATGTGAAAATTTAGAAAAAAGTATCTCGTATTTTCGGAGCGACTATTTGATTTCGATTAGAACATTTCATTGAGAGTATCAAAGTGTGATTCGACTGCATCTTAAAATTTTAGATCCGACTGACCTTAATCTGCGCATTCTTCGTGGTCGTATGCTTTAATGGGATGGTGTGAAAATTTTCTTGATTAATAACGATTCATTTGAAAGTGTTCTAGATGAATGAAACACTATGAAAGTTTTCAGCTCGAACGAACGTGTATAGTATGGAAAATGTTTAGAAAACAATCTGCTATTTCAGGAAGACAACATGGGTTCTAGGGGTACGATAGAGTTCATAAGAGCTCTTTATGAGCAAAATTTGACATTGCATAACCTTATACTTGACCAGAAACTCAATAGACTCTATCTTAAAGATAAAGATTTTTTGTCTCAAAACTTTTTTATCATCTATGGAGATATCATTGATAAATAAAAGAAAATATTTCTATACCAGAATGAAATTTGCCAAACTTTGCTTTAATTTGTTCATTATAATAAATATAAACTTGAGCTAATAATTGTTCAAATCTGGTTTTGTTAATATTAATTTGTTGTTGCATAAGATTAATTGTGTTCATAACACTAGGTACAATATGAAATGCCGTTGACCATCGACGAATCATATAACTTAATGAACTGCAAAGACGAATAAATAAGAATTCAAGATAATTTGTTGTTTTTAAATATGGATATAAACGTTCCAGTATAATTTGACCTTTATTAAATTGGCCAAACATATCAGCAAATAAATAATTTTGATCATTTAAATAACGATCAATAATTGAACTCAGTAGTTGTTTTGATTCAATAGCAGTTGTTGATGATTGAGAAGTTATATTAGTTGATTCTGATTCTGTATTATTCGTTTCAATTTTTGTTTGATTTGATATTGATAATTTAACATCATCATTATCCAATCGTAAAATATCACGATATAAATTTTCAATATTTAATAAAAGACCTAAAGTATATTTATCATGTGTAATGGCATTTGCTCGTGTACCCAAAGAAAATTGACCTAAATAAAATTAAAATTAAAATAAATGCGAAAACATCGGATTTAAATCCGAGTGTTATGTGTAATTCAAAAAGTGAACAGGTATATTCACTTTGTTTTTTTTATCATCTGAGACATATCTAGTCAATTTGCTTTCTTCAAGCAGTTTTTCTGCATTTTGAGACCTTTTTCAGGGGATGTTTTGTTAAAAAGCTACGATTTTGTTCAAAACTAATATCAGATTCGGAATCAGCGTTGAAAACTGAGTCGATTTATATATGTTGTGAATAATTCGGAGAAAAAAAGTTTTTTTTTGAAAAAATCCCTGTACCCCCCCTCAGGGATGGTCTTCTCAATAATGACAATTTTTTCGATAACTCAGCCATTTCTTGACGGATCCTGTTCATCTTCGAACTCGACCGAGACATTGTTAAGACTGAACTGTGTGGAAAATTTCATTGCGATCGGACTCTCTTTTCAAAAGTTATCGTGTAAACGGCCGGCCGGCCGGACATACTGACCGATTCTAGAGTGTACTCACTTTTTGAGTACACAAAAATGAATTCGAATACAAAAAACGAAAATATTACCATCAAGATGAAGAATACATCTTGGATGTCGAGCAGTTGCCATTGATTGTTTACCAAGTTGTGTTGATATTGGTGATGCATATGGTAGTAGTTGTGTAGGATTTACGTTACAAAATGTAGCTTGTGTAGATGTTTGAGATAAACGTTGAGCAAGTCTATATAAAAAGGTATTCATAGAATTATGTTCGCAAAATTAAGATCCGTTTTCTCTCGGTCAAATTATTCGAAAATAAGATAAATACATGGAAGTAGAGATATAAGGCAGTGCATTGATCGGTAGCGACGGCTAACATTTTGCAATGAATTTTTGAATGAAAAATAGAAAAAAACAATGGTAGAGGACTCATTAGCAATAAATCGTACGGTAACATTTCGAAAAACTGATCTGAGATACCGGAAATTATGAAAATCAAATATTTATCTTTGTGTCATAGCGACGACAGCTCAGCCGGCTGGCTTACACCTCTATGTGGAAGGATAGATTGAGTTCGAGTCTTTCATAAACAAAATGATTTTTGAATTTGTCATGTAGATTTTTCCAAACATGTTCAATGATTTCCTTCGCATTCGACGTGAGAAATATGCTTTTATTGATTGTGCGTGCATTCCAGAATTTTCAAAGGAGCTTCATGGTAACCAATTGTATTCGTTTTTGTTGCTAAAGCTATGCTTAGTTATATTGATTGATAAAGCCCATTTGTTGAGAATTTTGAAAAAAAAAACGACTACTAGATACTGCAGTTTTACATGCTCTTTCAAATAAAAAAGAAATTAAATATATAGAATGTGAACCCATAGAGAATTTCGGATTGTCAAGTCAGCTATTTTGGATTTTTGTTTGATCAATATCACCCGAAAACGTTATCGTATAAAGCTGAAAATTTGACGCGATTTGAATGCACTTGTTCCAAGATTGATTTTTCAGAGTTTTGAAGATCTTAAAGGAATCCCGTCTTTTCTAGATGTGAAAACCAAGAAAATTCTTTTGAGTTTTCATTTTTCATCGCTCATATAACTTCGAAGTATCCTCTGGCAAATGAGGGCTCTTCCTTGTTACTTAATACTTCTAATAAACTCAACTCTCGCAATTCTTAGCAGAAAAACTTGCGCTGAGATTATTCTTTGTATGCTAAATTATCCTAATGATAATTTCTAAAGCTGCTGACAGCATGAAAAGTTTTCGATCTAACGGAAGTTGTTGTATAGGTACTGAAGACTACTTGAAGTGTCTATTTTTTTGTTTTGTTTTGAAAAACAGGGAAACGTTAATTTTTGGAGATACGTTCAGTATTTTGATTTTTTCATTCGAATGAAAGAAGGTAAAAAGAAAGCAAAACAAAAGTAGACAATTCTAACAGCGCCAGGCACTTTTCTTTTTTACAAAATTCGAGCTCTATTGGATATATTATGGCTGCAAAAATCAGAATGACTTTGAGCCTTTTCGACCCAGATATTTCATAGAACGAAGTCTATAACATATTTTGGTCTATTTATCGATATCTATCTATACTGAAGGTTTCAAATATTTCTGATGAGTTGTTCTTCAGAAACTCTAGAAACCTTTACGAACATTGAGCTAAATCAAAGATTGTTCATCATATTTTACACCGACTAAGAATCGAAATCGTTCATTTTCTATAATCAGACAAAGCATATACTTTATTGTGATTTCTAGCGATTTCTCTCAATAGAATCTTGTTTATCATTAAGTGACATACTCATTTTCTTGTTGAATTGATTTTAATAATTGAAGTACTGGATAACTAATTTTTTGTCCACGATGAGTATGACGATTTATTTGATTACCATGTACTTGTTGTATATGACGCTTTTGTTGTGACCATTTATGAAAATAATAATCCTACAAAATATCGTTTTTTTCTTCGGAAAAAAAAATTTTTTTTTTTCTTTTACTTCTTCTTGCGTTTGTGATACTTGATGAAGTTGAATTTTAACAACCCATTGTTTTTCCCGATCAGTCATCATACCAGCAAATTCATCATGACCAGAGCCACGTCCTTGCCATGTATTAAGAAGTGGTGGTCGTGGATAATGTTTTGCTGGTCGATTTTGTCGTGATTGATTATGATGATGTGATGATGGACTAACAATTGTATCAAGTGGTGATGATGATGATTGATTATTTGTTCGATGTTGTTGTTGTTGATGATTATCAACAATAGGAATTTGATCAGATCGTTGAATAGCATCCATAAATTGAGATGACATACCACTATTAACAATCGTTGGTGATTGTGAACGTGAATTGTTTATATTCATTGTTGTTAAACGAGCTCGTTCCATCATTTCACCAATAGACATTGAACGTGTTTCTTCACGTTGTTGTTGCTGTTGACGTTGATCATATAATAAATTATTATTAAGAATTCGATTTGAATTTATTTGATTAGATCGATCATGACCATTGATATTCATATTTGTTGTCTAATTAAAATACAAAAAAAAAAACAAAAGACACTAATATTTATTTCTAAAAAATTAGCAATTATATTACTCGTGCTATTTGTTGTTGAGTATTTAATGTATCACGTTGCATTTTTTCAATCATAGCTTGTAAATAAAGTATTCGTTCTTGTGATGGTATTTGTTGATTAATTAACATTTGTTCGAATTGTTTTAATAGTTGATAATTAATTTGTTGTTGTTGTTGTGGTGGTGGTAATGTTATCGGTGGTATACGTGATGTTTGTTGTTGAGAAAAAATATTTTCATGATTAGTATTATTTGCTTGTGATATAGCCATATTAAATAATGGATTCATTGTTGATTGTCGAAGATTAATTGATGTTGCTGATATACACATTGGATCTTCACCAAGTAGAGCATCAATTGATGGTTGTTGAGATTGATCATTATTATCAATAAGTAAAATTCCACCTCCTTTATCAGGTATATATGAATCGAAAAAATCTGGTAATCTTTCTGATGAATAATCACCAAGAAATTCTCCATTGTCATCAAAATCAGATTTTATTTTAATTGTATCTAAATTACAATCACCAAATGTTTCATCATTTAATGTATCTGCTTCAGTATCATCTGTTGTTGATAATACAGATAACATTGTATTTAAATCATCATTTGTATTCTTATTTGAAATATTTAATATTGAAGCACCAATAAATAATGTGTGACTGTTACCATCCATAATAGTCGATGAATAAAATAATTTAATAAAGAAACATACGCACACACACACATACACACATACACACTCGAAAAATAATAAGAAGAAAAAAGAAAGTCTTAAATAAGATGCAATGACAGAAATAGCAAAAAACAAGTAGCCATGAGTAAATGGGAAAAAGATTTACTCTGTTGAATATTTTTTTTATGATTGGTTGAAATAATCGAAGAATAATATTGTTTTTAATTGAAACAATAAATAATTATTACAAATGTACGAAATGTTTTCTTAATTTAATAATAAGAAACGATATTTTAAAGTAATTTCATTAGAGAAAAAAAAACATGATTTTAATAGTGACATCTATAGTATAATGTTATTGACCCATATTCAGAATTCATGAAAGCTAGTCGGAGAACTAATCAAATTTTTTGTTATCTTTTCAATTATTACCGAATGAGCACAAAGTATCTGAAACCACAGAGCTTTCTGAATTAGGCAAGTCCATGCTCCAAATAAACGAAGAAAAGCCAAATAGAAATGTTATAGATTTTCACAACAATCTGATCCAAAATGTACATAAAACGGAAAAATAGCCTTATTTTCTCTTATGTGACTTTTTAGGGACGGTGATAAGACTCTGATAAGCTGTCTATTGAAATTTTACAGATGACAATAGGTTGAAGATATCTAATTATGGAGTTTCTACATGCTATACACACCTTCAGCCAAGGAGAAAACATTGAACTTCAAGACTTCAACAATAGACTTCCATAGATTTCAAGATCACATGAGTATTCAAGAAAATGCAGAAATTTCATAACACTTCAAGGAGTGAACCATTTAACTTAAGGCAGTGTTTCTAATGAGAATTTCCAGTACAGTGCGCAATCCGCACTCTGTTTTACACTATAATTTTTTCGCGCACTCTGAAATTTTCGACAAAGTGTACAGAGTGTGCACGATCTAGAAAAAAAAGGAATATTGAATAAAAATGAATTTAATATTCTGTTTGAACTTTTTTCATTTCAAGGTTATATAAATAAAGCTAGGTGAAATAAACTATGTATAATACATATTCATAGAGAAAAAGTAAAAAAAAAAGACTCGCGTAACGAGAATCGCAAAACTCTTACTAGTATATACTTATTTAATGTTCAACAATTTCAGAAAACTACTCAAAAAACAATATTTAATTGTCGTTTTCTTCAATATTCATATATACCAAACATGAAAAGTTGTTTAGAATTCGAAAGCGCTACTGTCAATGCGTTGAAAGCGCAAATGGATATTTGTTACGCAAAGAAAAGAATAGCTTTGTGTAGGACATAGTGTATTTGTAAAATTCATAGTGTACTGTGCGCACTTTCTTTTCTTATTCAAGGTATAAACAGAGTGCGCTTGAAAAAAACAAAGTTTTCGTGCACTTTACTCTGTATAGCGCACTTTGTCATTAGAAATACTGGTCATCAATCGAAGAAAAGTTAAACTAATAATAATAATAATAATGAAATTTGAATAACTACGAAGGTTGCAGTAATAAGTCTTTTTTATAGAAAAATGAAGCAAAATATCAAGAAATGGAANCGACCTCGATTTACCTTTGGTAGAAGTTCCTAGTCGAATCTATATACTATTGACACTGTGTAGGATTGCAGGAAAGATTTGGATTGAGCCCAAACTTAGTATCGTTTGGACCCCGGGAACGACCGAACCCCGGGAATGACCGAACCCCGGGAATGACCGAACCTGGGAACAACCGAACCCGGGAATGACCGAACCCCGGGAATGACCGAACCCCGGGAATGACCGAACCCGGGAATGACCGAACCCGGGAACGACCGAACCCCGGGAATGACCGAACCCCGGGAACGACCGAACCCGGGAATGACCGAACTCGGGAATCCCGGTCTGTTCCCGGGTTCGGTGCATGCCTACGTGTAATTGAATCATATACTCGCATTCATACTCACAACTACTCCACACCCACGCTCAAAAAGATTCTATGCAAGATAAAAAGAATTTCAGACAAAATGTAGGGTGACTTTTTTAATTTTGTTTTCGCTGTAACGCTGTGAATACTAAATCGTATGCGGCAAAAGTTTGATCCTTTTTCATGCTCATAGAGTAGAGTAATATTCCAAAAAATCAGACAAAAATCTTTCTTCGTTTGGAAGAAAATTTAGTCTTACTAGCAAAGTGTCAAGCGAAATTTTTTGAAATATTCAAACACTAAAGCTGGTTGATGTATGACAAAGCATACAGATATTGGCTCCAACATAGAGAAGTGTTGGAAAAATATTATTTTCATATAGAATCTGCATTGCTCTATCAAATACAACACTTCATTGTCTCTTATTATGAAATTTATTTTTATGGATTTATTTGTTCGAATGGTAAAATAGATGTGCTCTTCACTCATATACTTCTTTCAGTGCTATTCGTTAATAAAAATGTATCCCTGATTTTTTTTTTCTTGAAACTTAGTTATGAATCTATAATATAGTGTTTTTTCGTTTATTACTTAACGTGTGAAAAACAAAATTGTCACTATGCAATAGCAAAAATACTTCACTATTTTATCGGTGTGACTCCAAATTCGACTTTGAAACAATTTATTTTAGTAGTTCCGACTACGAATGAGTCAGAGTCGAATTTCGAAGACCGATGCAGGGCTCTAACACACACTATTCCTTCTTCCCTCCTCTTCATTCATACTGACACTCACACTCACATCACAAATTTATATTTTTCTAATCAACAAGGCTTTTTCTGTTCTTCCTTCTGAAATGAAGAAAAATTAATGTGGACATCGCATTTATGGATTCAATTAGTCAACCATTGCCATGAGAAAAAAAAATGATTAAAATCATTGAAATGAGCAATAAATCAAATGTCGACCATGATATATCCTTTTATGGCGTCATTATTTTCTACAATTTGAAAGATAAATCAACGTACAAAGTGTGACTTACTTGCTCTGCCTTTTTGTCCAATAGATAAAACTCTAAGGAGATGAGGAAGTTTGCATGAAACTATTTGGGAATTTCCAAGATGCAGACTCGCAATATAAATTCAAACAGAAATACTGGTTGCAAATTGGCAAAGTATCAAAGATCGACATACAGAGTATGAAGTCTCTCCTAAAATTCTTCGTATGTGGAACGAGATCTAAACCGATCCGACATCCAGATTTAATGCCGGTGACAGGACAACCAAAAACACTCAATCTTTCGAACGACGATCCAGCGAGCATCTCAAACGATACAGTTAATATCGAAGCATATGGAACGAAGCTGCAGCCTGTTGACAAAACAGAATTACTCGATTCTCGAAACGATACGCAAGTCGATCATGTAGTCGAACCAGTGGAGAAGGATCCTCAAATGATGTCAATACATGACGGTTGTTTTTCAATCCAAATCAAACCACGAAAGACACAAAACATGGAACAAACAGATCTTAATTCGATTGAATTAATGACAATACAACATAGGCTCAAGAATCGGCTGGCTAGATATGAAGAATACTTGAGAAATACTCGTGTGAACACATCAAAACACAATAAGCTCCTGGCAGATCAACGCTTTTTGAGACGAAAACTTTGCGAGGTTGAGAGAAAACTGGCATGCAATAAATCAATTATACAAACTTATCATGCAATTGGGTATTTAATTTCAATCTGAATTTTGAATAAAAAAAATAGACATTCAATTTTGAATTGAAATGGGGATATAGGGGATCTTTAGAATTATTCATATAAACAATTTTAAAGGCCTCTTATATCCGCCAGTTCCCATCCTTAAAAAAGGAGATATATACCTATATATTCATATGAATAATTCTAAAGATCCTCTATACCCCATTTCAATTTGAAATCGAATGCCCTTTTTTTGTTCTAAATTCAAATTGAAATTAAATACCCCATTATATGCCCTACATATGGTAGTACGTTAAGAGATAAGAATGCATAGTAATAAAAAACAAAAAAGAACAAAGGATATAATTTCAATTGTCTTGGACTGTATTCAGAAGCAATAAAAAAGAAAAACCTTTCTTCGACATCGATTATAATTCTAATTCAAGTTAACATTTCTTTTATCTATATAGAAAAAAAGAAATAGTGAGTTTTCTATCAGTTAAAAATAAATTTTGAACTGGAACTACCTTTTTTGGTTCCGGTCTCGGTTACATTTCTTCTAGTCTCAGTTCCGATGGGGATCAAAATGTTTGTATTGATCTGGGTTCCAGAGCCATTTAAAATTGTCTATTATTTCTGATTCCATTTTTTTCCGAAAACAGGCAATTTCCTGTAAGATAAAGTCTAAATTTCTGAATTTTTGCTCGTACTTCTAAATAGTACTATGATTATTTTTGCAATATAAAGAGGTACAATAAAAATAGTTTTAAGATGTGATAGTAGAAAAATAGGAAAACAAAACACCAAAAAAATTGGACAATTAAAAGAATAATTAAATCACTATCGAACCAAATATATATATTTTGTACAAATCTGCTTATTTAAAAAATCTCGATTTCAATTTCTGGAATCGAAATCAGTGAAAGATTTTTATTGGAATCATAAATAAAAATAACTGACTTAGAGATTCTTAGTCACAACAAACAATAATAAGCATACAAATCTAAAGCATAGTTCTTGATAAAATATGTGCTGGGACCAGCTTGAAAAGTTTATTGGTCCTGATCCCAGTAGAAATCAAATGTTTGGTGCCAGTCCCCGTCCCGTCGGACCGAGACTGAGACTACTTTGCAGTTCCCTTATCTTGACGCAATGTTTTCTACATCTTCGTTTCGTCTCATTTTTACACCATGCGTATGACATTATACTGACAAATAAAAACCAAGATTCATTTTTCATTTTAACATATTGTTTTAAAAGAATAATCTTTTCAAGTCTAGCAAAGATGAAATTTACGCTTAGATTAATTACGATAAGTCGCTATACTGATATTATTGAAATGCTTCATTCTAAGTACTGAATGACGAAACATTTTTCTACCCCATTGCTTAATAAGGATGTTAACTTGGTTTTATTTCTTCCTGTTACTTTTTCTTCTCTATTAATACAGTCTTTTTTTTCTTGCAAGCCCATATGGTTCATCCAACTTAAAAATTGGTATCAATGGATTTGGTCGAATTGGTCGAATTGTATTTCGACGTGCACTTCAACAAGGTATTCATGTTGTTGGGATCAATGGTCCGTACTAGATGTTTTTGTTCATTAGCCTAATAAAACATATCGTTGAAGATGAAAATCCATCTGTTTCTGTTCATCATATGGCTAAAATCTTGAAGTACGATTCAATACATGGACGTTTCAACGGTGAAGTTTCAACTAAAGATGGAAAAATTGTTGTTAATGGAACAGAAATCAGCGTTTATGCGAAGTAAAGTTTCTAAATTAACAAATTTGAATGTTTCATTTATATTCATTTTTAGGAAAGATCCATCACAAATTCCATGGGGACAACTCGGTACGTTTTGTTTATTTCAGTTTTCATGAATATAAGTTTATTGAATTTTGTTTTCTTTCTTTTTTAAAGGTGCTGAATATGTGGTTGAATCTACCGGCATATTTACAACAATTGACGAATGTCAACCACATTTACATGCTGGTGCTAAGAAAGTTATAATTGCAGCATCACCAGCTGATGCTCCAATGTTTGTTATGGGAGTCAATGAAGATAAATATACAGGAAAAGAAACAGTTGTTTCAACTGTATCTTGTGCAACAAATTGTTTAGCACCATTGATTAAAGTTGTTCATGAAAAATTTGGCATTATTGAAGCTCTATTGACAACTCTACATTCATATACTGATGCACAAAAAACTATTGATGGACCATCGAATAAAGTACTAAATTAAACGAGAAAAAAATATTGTATTTTTCTACTTCTATAGAGTTGGTGTGATGGACATGGAGCTGCCCAAGATATAATTCCATCATCAACTGATGCTGCTGACGCTGTATATTTATTGCTTGTTTTTTATATAAATTAGAAATTTGTTGCTTTATTTTTGTTTAATTAGATCGGAAAAATAATGCCTGATTTAAATGGAAAATTAACAGATATTGTTTTCCGTGTTCCGCCACTTAATGTCTCAATGATTCATCTTACTGCTCGATTGAGCAAGGGCGTAATTTATATTTTTACTGTTATTTCATTTATTTAAAAAAAAATAATATTTAGGCTACATACAAAGAAATCTGTGCTGCAGTTAAAGAAGCTGCCGATCGTCCTTTAAAAGGTATTTTGGCTTATACTGATGACGAAGTTGTTTCGACAGAATTCATTGGTGGCACAAATTCTTCAATTTTTGATGCTCAAGCCGGTATTTCGCTCAATGACAACTGTGTGAAACTTGTTTCACGGTATGCTATTATTTATTTAATATTTTTCTCTATCAAATGCAATAATTTTATTTTTAGGTATGCCAATAAATATGGTTGTTCAAATCGTGTCATTGATCTTATCAAATACATGGCTAAGAAGGATCATGAACAACAGACTTGAACAATCCTTTATATATTTACGAACATGAATTTATGAGTTCTATATAATTTACCTTTCTTTTTTTTTTTTTATTTGGCCTTCATTCTAGAAAGGAAATTTTTTTTCCTTACTCTATATTTCTAGTTCGCATTATTATTTTTATTCACTCGTAAAAAAAACAAAAAAAGACTTTTTTAACTGGAAATCAATTTAAGTGTGCGCTTATTATATGTTTCTTAAGAAAAATCTTTTCCAACTTTTCAAAAGCATTCAAAGTCAAACAAAAATAAATGCTATGACAAATAGATGAGACATAATTTTAATATATATGCGAAACTGAAATATTGAGAGTTGTAGTAAACTTTATCTGTTTCTATAAAGATACTTTAATAATGATGAAGTTCAGCATTAGTTATATTGATTGTAACGTCATATTTCGTAAAGACGCAACAAATTTTTGTTATTTTTTTAGATGATTTTTGGTAAGGGTGTGGGTGTGAGTATATGTTTCAATTACACGCACATTCGTACTCATATTCACACTCACACCCATAGCGCTGCAGACATACCTCTGATGATCATGTGCTAGTTATTTGTAGAGGCCAATAATAATGAATTGAAATAGGATGAGTACATCGACATCATATAATCTCAATGATTTGTTGAGTAAGTTATAGAGATATTTGTCTCGAGTGTGTTATCAAATGACATTCTGGGACGCATAATCGCATTCAAATTCGGCGATTAGTCGTAGTTGATCGTTATTGTCTTCGTTTATCTCTTTTTTAGCTTTGAAGATAGTTCTCTTTTTAACACATTCTATTCGATGAGACCCACTGGCGGATCCCACTATATTTCAACAAAACACCGAGTAAAAAAACATTTTCTTTTTCATTTTTTTCTTAAATAGGAGGTTATACGTAATGCGCTGTCTGTTCTGCCTTCGTTATTAGTGCGCACAGATTTTTCCTTTTCTTCGAGCCTATGATCAGCAAGTTTGCGCTTCGGATGGCTTTTTGTTTTTTGTCCTGAACCAGGTTTCATTTTCTCGCCACTAGTCTGGAACCCCAAAGGAAAAACGTGAATGAAGACATATATCACTGAATATTAGTTGACACAATAAGAAAAAGAGTTTAGTGTGTGGATAAGTGTGAGTCTCTTCTCTTTTCTTCACACTATCTGCACTTTATCGACGCTTCTGTCAAAGATTGATCGAATTTTTCATTAGAAATTGAATTCGCAATATTTTTCTCATTTCGAAATTATTCAATACTATCTGTGAAGTTGATTTTATTGCACTTATTGATAGCTCAATATTGCCTTGAACAAAAAATACTTTCACGAGTTTTAGTCTAAACCATACGATTAAATAATTTGGAAAACAAAAGCAATAGATTTGTATATTTGATCAATTAGGTTGGAGCACATTTAGAAGTTCTTGTTGTAATTATGGATTTCTTTGATCATTTTTCTTTCATGTTTTTAAAAATTCTTCTCATATTTACTAGATACTATTAATATAAATTTTCAAATCTTGTGAAATGAAATGATTAAGACACATAGAGAAAAAATGTGCATGCCTAAACAAATGGCAGAAAAAAAAGTTTTGTCAATGTGGTATCCAACAACAAGTTTCTTATTTTAATTTTATCATCCATAAATTATCATTGTTTGATATATATATAAACAATGAGTTTCAACGCACTAAATTCAAGGAAGCCATATCAAAAACCAATTAATTACGTACCCAACACAGAATGAATCTTCTTGACGTAAATGACTATGATTGATAAGCCATTGACGAAGATTTTTACTCACTTCATCAGTCACCGAACCGTAGATATATAAGCTACGAAGATTTTTATCTTTCCACAATAAAAGCACTTTTAGAATAAGCGAATCAACGATAATTGATGAATCGTCCAAGGATAGACCAAGATCACGAAGATGTTTAAACTTTTGGGCTATGGTGTCTAATTGAATCGAGTCGATTTCTCGAAAATGACTTATTTTAAGGTATTCAATTCGTTGCTGCAATAATTCGCATGTACACACATCGTCGAGTGCAGTATTTAAGCAATTGAGATCAATGCTTAGACTCCTAAGATTAGGAGCAGCTTGAACTAGATGAAATATTGCACAAGTTCCCTTCACATAGAGGTTCTCCAGTTGAGGTAAATACAGCAAGATTGGTTTAGTTGATTGACAAACAGCTATAGATCAGAGAAGTTAATAATACGTAATGACAATAGAGAGCAGATTTGAAAACAATGTGAAAGAATAGAAAAAGGCATGTTTCTTTCTTCTTTCTCGTTAACTGAAAGCAAGCACATATCCGTAGCACACTACATATTTGCAACTAATCTATACAGAATGTACTAAAACTAGTAATACAATAGAAACATTAACAATCTCTTCACTTTAACTTTTTGAAATAAGATCTCATTGCCAATCATGATCAGCATAGAGATAGTCTCCATGTACAATGAAAGCGGCTCGGCCACCTTTTTCGTTTTAATCTAGCAGATTACTCTGACAGCTTTGATCAATCAAGCTGTTTATTTTATGAGAGAACACATCTCAAATCACTCTATTAAAAAACAATTATCAAGAGATTTCGCTTTGAACTCCCATCACTAACTTCAATCAATACATGTATATTTTTCCTCATATGTTAACAAAATACACCCGAACGAGGTTACTAAGATGATTGAAAGCTTTTGAACTCATCTTTATCATAATATTAGAGGACTATCAGACTATAAAAATCTTCAGAAAACTTGTATTTTCATAGAATTTTAACTGAGAGATTGAGGTTTTTTTTAGTGAATCCTGCCGTTTCGGACCCATTTATGCGTAACAAATTTTAGAAATTTATTATTCAAGAATGTTCAATAACAAGCAAAGCCTGAAGAATATTTCAAGGGAAAGCTTTAAATTAAAAATTTAATTTTAGTCACAAATGAGAAAAAGTAACATTACTTTGTTGAATTCTATCAAGAAAATTTAATAGGAAATCTGATGACGATTTCCTTATTAGAAAGTAATTACTTCGATATTTGCTCTATCATCGAGACAGAAATAGTCTGATTGCTTAAAGTGGAATAGAAATATTTTCTTTACTTTTGAATTAAGATTTTCTAGTACATCCTGTATACTACATACTACTGACTATTAGTTGTCTTACCTCGTGAAATTAAGAAGACAAAAAAAAGCAATGAAAAGCTAATCAAACTTTCTGAAGATAGAATATAAATGTGTGAGACATATGTAATTTCGTTTGAAAAATATGTTCTAAACTTCGACGCAGATACAATAGAAATTTTTAAAGGAAACATCGCTAATAGAAAGCCAAATAATAGCTTAGCACTGGGAACGGTAGATGAATTATTTACAATCCTATATATTCTTCATATATTTCAATTAATAGATGTGTGATAAGTCTTCAGAATACATAATTTTCAACAATGCACTCCCTATCTCAAAAAAGATCCAGGCGATCACTAACTTCCGAATAATCTACGTGTTATAAAATTTCTCAATTGAAATACTAGAAATCCAGCTAAAACATTTATTTATATTTACTTTTAAAGAATATCTATCAATATGCACTTTTGGTTTTGGTCCTGTTCGTTCAACGATAATGATTTATCAAAACAAAATCAACGCACGAGTTATACCATGCTTATTTTTATTCATTTATTAGTAGGATGACTGGAAAAAACTTTTCCTATCGGATAGTAAGGTTTTTGAAAACTGAAAATTTTAAGCAAAAAAATACATTTTCCAATATAAGGAGTGCAGTTACTTTCTGGTATTTGCTGTTCTGATTTGAAATTCATACATTGCATTGTCTCTAGCCATTGATAATACTTATCTGATGCACTTATTCCTGCTTCTATTTCTAATGAATGCAAATTGCCTTCGTTTCCTTTTTACATTCTTAATTAGTTAGTAAATATTATCTATTATATCTCTGTATAGGTTTCTTTTAGCGGATGAAACTTGCACAATTAGATTTTTTGTAGAAATATTTCTTGTGAATTTTGACATACATGCTTTTGAATTATATTCTGAGCCAATGGTAAGCTTTCGAAGCCGATGAAAATGTTGCACAATGAGATGTACATCAGTTGAACATTGCTCGCCATAAATTTTCAAATTTGTAACTATTCGTGTGTATTCCCAACCAACCATCATGGAATTATCTATTGTTGCTGGAATGATAATTGAAGATAAACCACAAGGAATTGTATGTATTACGGCATATTCATTCGATTTGTCCAGCAAACATGTCATTCGAATATGAGGCGACCATGTAGAAAGCAAAGTATCTACTTCGACAGGTGATTCGGTGAAGTAATAAATTATGAATAAATGAATTTCGATAAGTGATGGAGGTAGAATTTGAATAAAATTTTGTCCGTTAACGAGACATGGATCTTTTGTACGTAGATCCAATGCTAATCGCTGCAACGATGGCATCTGACTCAGGATATAAGCTATTTCGTCTAATGACCAATGTAAATTTATCGAACGTAATTGAAAATCTTTCAGATGGACAAGAGATGAAACATTTGTTAATGTTGATTTTGAAGTAGATGATAACTGATCAAATTGAATATGTAAACGATTAATATGAGGTATAAGGGTAAAAAGATGTTCTAGTGTTTTATCTGTTTTTAAGTGCATTATCAACTCTTCGATATTCGGATAAGAAACAGCTTGATCATTGCTAGTTGTTGTCAGAATAAAATCGTTTGAATCATAACCGAATGATACAAATTTCAGTTGATTATTGTTAGCTGCTAAAACTTTTTTCAGTAATTCTTCTGTATGGTCATTCAAAAGATTTCGAATATCAAGTTTGACAAGTTGAGAAAGATCTGTGATTTTGTCAAGAAATAAATTTAGTTGTTCATTAACGAAATTCACGAGTGACAATGTATGCAATTGTGGAAACAGTAAAGACAACTTCGACTGAAACAAAGTCGGATAGTGCGTGTTAAACAAGGTATTTTCCCATAATCCATCGAACACAAATGATCGTATGGATAGGTTAATTTCAGGAACGATTTGCGTCGTAACAATTTCAAACTGTTTACATGTAACACCCTTGATATTCACATAATGACAGAAGTCGGCTATTGTCGAATTAAGACGAGCATTCAAATTGAAAAATGAATAGAGAATTTCTGCATCACGAAGATACTGACATACGACTAATATCATTTCATCGGGTAACATTTCGAAAGTTGAAACTTCTTCCATTGAAAGCAAAAAATCTTGTAGTATGTTTAGTTAGCAGAGCGTATATGTAATTTGTTTGATTCAAGATAAAATATGCCCTTAAAACGTTGAATAAGATGTGACTCAGACGGTAAAATGCAAGTTGTAAAACATGTGTGCTGACACAAAAAAAAACTGCATTTCTTTACATATTTGTATTGTAGATGCAAGAAAGAGAAATGATTATATTTGCGTAGTCATGGGGGCAGGTGTATGTATACGTGTGCAGGGTGCAGATATGTGCGGCTGTTGGTTTCAGTGAAGAAAAGACCAAAGCCATACTCCATCGGATGTATGAGATGCCATAATTTTCTCGAAATATTCGTGGTAAAACTTTCTAGATTTTTTCTTTCTTTCAAAATAATTCTGATAACAGGAAAATATTAATTAAGTGAAAAAAACTAATTAGTGATAATTTCTTGTTTCAATAAAATGAGTGTGTTTGTAATCGATAAAATTCTATTTACTACATTTTCAAGGTGATATGTTTAATAAAATGCATTAAATTATGACTAAAAGAAAAGAAATAACAAGTTAAACGTTAACAGACAAAAGCATTGAAACGCTTATGATGGTGTTATCTCAATAAAACTAGTGAAAATGAGTAAATTGAAGAATGAATTCGGGCGTTTGTCTTACCTTTTATCTGAATGGCAAAGGATAGATAAAATGACTCAATTCAAAGACGCTTGAACTAATAGGTTTGGCCATGTATAGATACTGCTGCAATTAATATATAAAATTCGATTTTTCAAAGGTTTGTTTTGTGTGACTCAAATGACTGATCAAGACCATCAAATAGATCAAAAGAGATCTCTAACTGCCTATATTCCTTAATCATTAATCTCAATGACTGATTTCAATTATCAAGTCGCGTCACCGTCTGAATCAAAATTCGCACAACTTGCTTCACAATACGGAGCACAAAGTCAATGACATCCATGGGGTGGAATTTCCATTCTATACAATATCTTTTTCAGCTTGTTAACTGTCTACTATCGGGTATGTTCGAGCAAATTCAGTTCTTCTGATTGATGAGCATTACTATTGGGCTTGGACGAGAGGATGTTGGTGTAGTTCTTCTCTTAGCCCACACCTTAACCTACACTCACACCCATACACCAACACTCAAACCCGCAGCACATCTATATCTTAGGATGTCTCAGTTCACCGCCTCGCTTAATTGGGACTTGACTTTTCATTTTTATATTTATTATAGAAAAATGCATTATCGTTCTCATTGACGAAGTCCTTGTTAAATTTAAAGAGTCACTACTATTATTTCCTCATTTTTAAAAATATCGAACTTACTGATAGAAACAAGAAAATACTTCATAGTTTTAGATGCCCTATATCACTTGTGATGAAGAGAAAAAAAAAGAAAAACGCAAAAATATATGAATTACCAAAATACTAAATATAAATAGTGAGTATGGATGAATGACTTAGATAGCAAATAAACATCAATGTTATTTTCAGACTTTGAACTTTCGCAATACGAAGTTCAAGTAATGCTTTAAAGTCACAATTCAATATAGATTATCAAACGTCACTGATACTCAGAACTTTTTATTTATTGCTTATTCCAACTAATGAGTAATATTTTGACGTAGTATCGATCGATTTCAACATAGATCTTTTGAACAGTGAAAATATATGAATTTTATTTAACATATTGTGAAACATATGCATCGCATTTTACACATTAATAGTCTGTATGAGCAGATGTATCCTAAGGTTGCCAGAGTTGAGGAAGGAGGAAGTCGATGACCCAGGAAGCCGATTGAAAAGTTTTTATCAATGTTGATCTGGTTTGTGAGGATGCTTGAACGGGATTTTTTAGGAATTAGGGAGTAATAAAAGGCTAGAAATCTGCCGGAGAAAAATAAGCACTTTTCAAGACTGTAGAATCAACCCTTCGCTCGAGACACGCCTGTCTTTTTATGTCTTATGGAACGAGTCATCATATTAGTTTTTCCCACAATTGAATTATTCATTGTTGAAAGAATATGTTCCTAATATTGTCAGATGTTTGATTATAATATTATTTTGATATGATCTATTGTGATATTGAAGTATAATAAATTTCACAATTACTCTTTATCCTAGTAACTGCTCCCTTCCATCCTAGCAACCGCGAAAGGAGGAAACAGCTGTAGCAGTTTAGTCTAAATATTGCGGCTTTTTGTTTTTCATGTAGCGAAAAGATCTTATTGAAGGGATTAATTAAAAGGATAGTCATCATTTTAATCTAACAGAGTCAAAATAGGACGGACCCAGAAAAATCTGCATTGATTGATTTCTAGTTTTAGACAAAACTCAGCAGTATATGTTAAAACTCGCGAAGAGAAAGGATAATATGCGGAGTAGCTTACGGAAAGATAAAATCAGTTGGCATAGCAGACTACTATATTATTTGCCGCTGTCTATGGCATGTATTGTAGATATATTATCATTAGGAGAAAAGAAGCTATGGATTGGTAATGCATCTGATAGTAAAGATGTTATTACAGAATAACGAGATTGAATGGATAAAAAAAAAAACTGTTCCGAAAGTAATTAGAAATACCCACGTTTTCGAAATGATAAAACTTCAGAGGGCGTATATCGACTATAAAAATTGTTATGATTTTGATTTATTGATTTGTTTGACATTTTGTTTTTAAATAAATGATTGTAGAAGCCCTGAATATATATCATTATTTTATAAAAGTTAGATTTTGTGAGTTCTACACTTTTGTCGTGCAAAGGGTCGCATAGACAAGTTTTTTGTTTTAGTCCTTGGTTCTGAGCTGTTTTTTTTGTCATACGATCCTGACTCATGTTGTTTATCTCGTTCTAGTAACAAAGACAAATACGCATTTGGCAAGAAGAATAAATGTTATGAAATTACAATCGTGAATAAAAACAATGCATCAAAACACGTTTTTTTTTATTCAACTGCTATGACTGATAAGGATGGTTCTGTAGCTGATTTTGTTAACATTAATCGCCGTTTATGGAATGACAAAGTTGATTATCATGTTGTATCACCAATGTACAATGTTGCTGGTTTTCTTGCTGGTGTTGATTCATTAAATAAAATTGAAATTGATTTATTAGGTAACATTCAAGGTAAACGTATTCTTCATTTGCAATGTCATTTTGGACTTGATTCACTTTCACTTGTTCGACGTGGTGCACAACATGTTACTGGAGTTGATCTATCCGATCGAGCTATTGACAAAGCTCAAGAGTTAGCTGGAACTCTCAATCTTACAACATCGACAAGATTTATTTGCTGTAATATCTATGATTTACAAGAATATTTGTCATGTGATCAAGATGAACTATTTGATATTGTTTTTACTTCATACGGTGTCGTTGGTTGGTTACCTGATATTAATAAATGGGCATCTTTAATTTCTACGTATTTGAAACCAAATGGTATGTTTCTTATGGTAGAATTTCATCCTGTTCTTTGGATGTTTGATGAAATGTTTTCACATATTGAAGAATCATATTTTAATCAGAAAACGTTTGTTTGCCAACGTGATGGTACTTATGCTGATCGCAATGCTCCAATATCAAATTCAAGTGTCGAATGGAATCATAGTCTTAGTGAAATTGTTCAAGCACTTATTGATCATGCCCTTCGAATTAATGTTCTACAAGAATTTGATTATTCACCATATGATTGTTTTCTAAATGGTGTTAAGACAGATGACGGATTTTATCGAATTAAGGGCTTGGAAAAAAAAATCCCTATGATATTTGCTCTCAAAGCAACTAAATCTGTTTAAGATCAATATTTTTTTGAAATATGTATTTGTTTGTTTTTAAGAAAGATTTATGACTAACATGTTTGTTTAAAATGTTAAGAAAAAAAGAAATAAATAAAAATTAATGATGACAACAAAAGCTAGATTATGGTTTGACACAGCTCACAAACGTATTNAAGATTGTAATTTCTCAGAGACGAGTTAGAAAAAACCTATGCTTATGCTTTTAGGATGCATCTGCATGCGTCCATGAGTTTAAAAAGTGATCAAGCGCATCTTTATCTTTACAATTGTGAGACGCGTTTCTGCTTTAGATGCAGCCACTAATTTGAACGCATTCATATGCATTTTTGAAACGCGAGTGAACGCGTCCCATTAATTTTTTGCACATTAATCGTGTCTAGACGCATTTAAACGCGTGTGATATGCGTTTGAGTTTCACATGGGATGAAACTAGAAATTTTCTTAATAAAGAAAACGCATGATAGAACAGAATATGAAAATAAATTATTTTAAAAGTTAAAATTATCTAAATGTCCTGGTTCGTCACTTTATCCGTAAAAGAGCCTTGAAAAAGTTCATATGTTTTAACTGATGGTTCGTAATTGACGATGTTTCATAAAATTTAGACTGTGCAAACTAATTAAAATGTCATTTAATAGAATTTTTTTATCAAGAATAATTTCATGAGTCTGATAGAACAATTCTATTCATTTTGAGAATGTAGGTGCTTATAATAGCACGCCTATACCTATTTGCACACTATTTCGAAGCCTGTCACTACATAATAAGTAGCAATGAAAGCACACATCATTCTTTGAATAGATATGGACAGAAATACTTAATTTTTTGTTAAAAAGCATTATTGAAGAATCGCTTCAAAATACGAAAAATGAAGATGAAAAAAAAAGATTTGACACTCTTCTACTAGATAAGCTGAGAGAAACAGTGAAAAATCTTCATATAGTTTTGAAAAATAAATGTTTTATGCTGGTTGAAAGATTTTCAGACGGATATGCAAACTAAGCAACATGATCTTCGAACTTTTACAGATTGCATGCCTTTGTTGGTCTGATATATATCCAAAATTTTGAGGAAGTCATTTTGTCTAACTACCTTTGACATGAATTTAAATGTCATTCTATTTATTTTAAAACGAGGAAAAGATCTTCGTTGATGTAGTTGACAGTAGTAAACAGATACTCGATCGATAATGAATACCAAAACTTTTTCTCTTTCAAATGATAAAATTTATCTAATTCTTACTTTCGTGAATAAGAATGCACCATATAGAAAAAAAAATGCTGTTGTTTTTTCTTCTTTATTTCTTACACAAAAAATAGTCAACAACACTCGACCAGTGGATAGTTTTCAGCATTATCAGTCATAGTAAACTCAGTTTGTCGATACAAACGATTTTAATATTGCATAAAGCATGATTGGGATTGATCGCAGAAAAAATGCTAGCTGGTAGTGTTTATGTCATTCTTCTGATCTGTTTAATTCTTACAAAAGCTTGGATAAAACTAGTTTTTGTTCTATTGAAGCCATAAATATTTCTTTCAAAAGCAACTCAAATAGTATATTTTGTCGAAAAGATTTTATTTTACAAGTTGATAGATTAATAAATTTTTTCGGAATTTTCAAATATTCTCTCAATACTTTCGAGAAAAAAACCACATATAAAAGTATTGAACTCATATTTAAATAGAGCACAAAATTCACATTTTAATTGATAGTTTTGATATAATTTTAAACTTTAATAAGATAACCAAAAAGTACTATTTTCTCTTAAAATTTTCAACCCATCTATTTTTATTCATGTGACTCATTTTCTTTTCTGTTGATCAATGATGAAAGAATATAAAAATAAACAAGCGATTCGTTCGTGTTCTTATGCAGAAAGCAAAATAAAATACGTAGCGAAGCGTTGAATATAAAATAACATATATACTTCTTTTTTAAATTTTGCTGCAACTAAGAGTGATGATATATCCTGTTTTTACTTAATGAGTGAATGAAATAATATATATTTTATTTTATTTCAATTCATACACATTAATGGGAAGAATATATATATATGAAAAAAAAAATGAGACAATGTGCATGGGAACGTAAGCTTCGAGAAGTTTTATATTGTAATTATGTTTCATTAGAATAGAAAAGAATGATGCAAATAATACTCATGTTTTATGTTGCAAAAATATATGTAAATCCTGTTCTTTAGAATGCGATTTAGTAAAATATTTTCTCGTTGTAGACATTGCAAATAATTCCATAGTCATCACAAGAAGCAAATCTACTATAGATTGTACATTGCAACAGTTTCAAGTAGAAAATATTATAAAACTGCTTGATCTTAGAACATCTATAATTATATTGTTGTATGTTTTAAAAATTCTTTACTATTTTCATACGGTATTTGTTAACTGTTTTGGTTGTATCATTCGAGTAGGTGTATCAATATTTTCATTTTTGTGAAACGTTTTTATCACATGAGACAGACATTATTGAATTTTTATAACTTAAATAATTCTCAGTCATATTTAGCTGTAGAAAATTTGTTTGCTTAATTTACAATTCGTGATTTAAGTAAGCTTTTGAGAACGTAGAAAATAGAACATATTTGATAGATCTTCGATGATAACTACAAAGCATTGTTTTAAGTTAATCCTTTTTCTAGATCATATCTGTACAAGAGAAAAGAAAAGTCCAACAAAAGACAAACACGAGTTCCTAAATTAGGCGTTCATCGACTATAGGATTATGAATTATGGAACATTGTGTAGCACCGCTGCATCTTTTTTGAAAGTTAAATCAATATTTTTGAGCCTGCGAATTCAAATAAAATATAATTATCGATGTTCAAACTACCATTTTGATCAAGTCATATAATTGTAAGTTGATAATCAAATGAACAATTAAATCTATTGTCAGTTTAGTTCTTTGATGAAGGAATTCTATGGTACAAAATCATCTATACTATGATTATGTCAAATTGATCGAATAATTTGAAAATATATGAGACTATATCTTTGTCAAATAAATACTTCAAATGTTGAATTTCGAAGTTCTATATTGTTGAAATGAAACGTTTTCAAGTCAAATATGTGTAGGATGACTCTGTTTTAAGGAATCGAAACATATTATCTCAATGTTCAACTAAAAGACAAACAATTTAAAAATAATTTTTGGAATGTTTTTATGAGAATATTTAGTAATTCATTTCGATAGCTTGGTACCTTCGTGTGAACTTAGACTGAAGAATAGAATTGATGATAGAATTTGATCATAAAAATGATATACAACAATAAAAAATATAGTAATTGAATTCATCCATTGATTTCTATTTCGATCTTTCAGAAAAAAGACACACAAGAAAACATGAAGAAATAAATGATGATAGATTTTCAAAAATAATTTGAAGAATCAAAGTGCATTGTTAGATTGATTATTGTAGTTAAAGTTGAAACGCATTACCGTCTAGCTAAAATAATACGTAAAAAAAGAGTGATTATTAAATAAATGACGTATGTGATGAGAAAGAGATATATATTTATCGCTTCATCCAAGCGTATCTTTCATATCATTTCAGCGAGTAAAGTTACACGTGCATTTAATAGACAACAAACTTCATAACCTACCTGCACAATCAAATATGTGTCTCCCAGTTAGTCTACAGTGAAGATTTACTATTATTATTTTTAAAAGAATATTTTTTTTTTAATAGATCTGTTGTGGTGCGGATCCTTATGGTTGCTGTTTCTGCGGCATTCCGTGTGATTGTTTTGGAGGAGGTGGTACTTTCGACAGAGGGTGAATAATCGACTTCTTAGTTTCTCTAAAGCAATAATTTTTTTATCGGTATTTTAGACCTATTCAAAGTCAACCAGCAGGATACTACTGATCGTAACAATTAGAGCTGACTTTTTTGTTTTGTTTTTTTTTTCTTCATTTACATTGTATCGAACCATGTAATATATGTGATTTCGTTATCTAAGAGACACTTGAAATAGATAAAGAAAACATATTCGAAAGTGCGTTGTAACATATTTTATATTAATAAACATCAGTTTCAATTAGTATCGATCACATCAAATCAACAATGAGATTAACTGAACAGATGAATTTTTAAATTATATAATTGTCCTGCTGAAAGGATTGAATTTGATGATTAAGTCTAATTGCTGGGTAGAAATTTTCTTAATGTTGAATGAACATGTAAACCAAGATTTTTTTCTTCTGTTTTATAATACTTTTTGTATCAAAATATGATTCTTTAAAAATAGTAGAGACACAACCGTTGTGAACAGGATCCTTTCGAGTTCGCATCTGGTGGAATATATTGACTTTCGTCAGTCTGATTTTCAAACATAAAATAGAATAAAATGACGTTTGATCATCTCAACTTACGATACAAATCGATTGTATACGGGTAGCTATTCTTGTTCATACGCATTGGTATGTAAAAAAGGCGAACACATAGTCCAATGCCCAGAATGAAATGTTAGAAATAAATCGTGTAAGTGCAGATGAAGTTTTCACTACGCTTATATGTCCCATTCGTCCAAATAGTTGCTATTTCAAAAGAACACATGACATTATGGTTTTTTCTTTTTTCACAAATAATTATGTAGTAAACTAGACATTCTAAAGAAAATATGTAAAGATAAATTGCAGAAAAAAAAAGATTTTTCTTAATGAAAAAGTGTTGAAATTGAAACCTTTATCTCTTAAAGGTAAGTTAAACAAAAAGCAATTTAGATGGTTATTCGTTATGATATTGAGAACAGTTAGCATTTATTCAAATGTTAACTATGCTCTTACATTAACTTTCTGTTTTTCTTTAGACTGTTTTGATGCTGAAAAAAATTTATTGAAAGTTCTATTTTGACAAAAGAGTTAAAAAGGACATATGTCAGTGAAAATCTTATTTCTGCTTGAGAGCGTAGACTTCAATTTCAACAGTTTTAAAATAATGTGAACCAGTGAATGTGAGACGTCCTTTGCCAGTTGAATCAATATAATCACTAGGAAACATAATATTACTGCGAGCATTTTGATTACTATCTGAATAAATACAAATGTCCCATAAACCAAAGGTCGGTCCCATCGTCTCTTTGCAACCAATTGCATTCCGACCTTCACCATTTATTTGATATTTAGTAGGCAAAATTTTATGTGGATTAATTAGGGTGAACAGAAATGCATCCATATCCACTGACCATTTCCAATCTTCGTGGCTTTCCCAATTAGCTGATGTGTATCCACCAAATAAATGTCCGCTCGATGATTGAATTACCGTCAATGTTGCACTTTTTCTATCACAACAGCGATAAAAATCAGTGCTAGAAAAACCGTCTCGTGTGGCTTTGTAAATGAGCCGCCACATTTGATTTCGTTTTCCGTAAAATTCGTTCAGCCGAATTTGATGTTCTTGACATAAAAGTGTTCCATCAGAGAAATATTTCTTTCCGTCGCGAATATCATGATCGAGTGAGATTAGAAGTTGTGAGTTCAATTTGATAGGTGGAATGGTCATTTTAACACGAGTTTTATTTCGATCAAGATCGATTTGAATTTGATTGAGTCTTGCACTTAATTGTTTGATATCCTGTTCAAAATAATTATTCTCGAATTTACATTTTCGTAAGTCTACCGAAATTTGGTCTAAGTCAGCTTTGACGGTAGAAGTTCTCGATGTCATCAGCTCCTTAATACGGTTTCGTACACCATTGGCCATTTGCGTGACACTTTTTAATGCTTGCTCCTCCCATTGATTGATATCATGGAGAATAGCCTTTAGTTGGGATTGCTTGATCTTCGATGAATGATCCGCGATATGATGAGGTAGAGTACTTCTATCATGGCATAATTGTGCAAATTTAGTATCTAAGTTTTGACGGTGTTCGCGAAAGTGCGTCGGACAGAAACGATTGCAACATCCGTCACATTGAGCAATGCCTATCTTTTTGCAATGTGAACATTTTGTTGACAATATGTCAGCCATGTAAGAAGTAAGAGTGCGTATGCCTTTGACAAAACAGCAAGACAAGAAGACAAAATGAATATTTAACGACAAGAGAACGTTATTTTACTAAAAAGAATTCACATAATGTTACAATAAAAGCGAAACCTAACAATAGTAGCTTCTTTTTTAATCACAAGCAAGAGTCAATCATTAAAAATAATTATATGTCATCTTTCAGACTTTACAAAAAAAAATAAAAATAAAAGCAAAGCAGCGCAGCGCTGATTGTGCTTAGAAACTGAATCAACTACGAGCAAAACATTTATACTGATTCTCACTAGTTACAGCACTGGATAAGATCGGATTGAATTCCATTAGAAAACTGTGCCCTTATATTGTCGATTCCCTCCCTATTTAATTGACGATCAAGTTTTCTTCGATAGTTATGAATGTTGTCATTACATCAAGCTTGCAGAGGTACAAAAATCATATGTCATCTGAAATGTTTGATTGTGAAATAAAAGGTGAACAGTGTCTGAATTAAGTGTAGTTATGAATGAGTATGTATCCTTCACTCTCACTCATCCATACCCACACCCACTTTTAAAATAGTCATTAATACAAATTTGTATCTTGCTTTGAGATAAATTTCATTTGAAACGATGCGTATACGGTTATCACCTCATGCTTATTTACCACTGCCATCAAAAGTCTTGAAATATGTCAAATATGTGTAGAGAGAACTTTTTTCATTCACATGTATGAAAATTATTGAATGGTGATGCTGCTGCATAGAAAAAGTGAAATTTTACTGGATGGTTTCTTTGTAAACATGGTGTATTCGTTCGATTTCTATCGAGCTCAATGAAAATTTCAATTGACTGTTGATGTACAATGGCATCATTGATAAATGTACAGAAACTAAGTAAACGGTATTATTATTTTTTGAATGGAAAACAAAATAAAATGAAAACTTAGATCTCAATGAGTTGTGACTCATGTGTTTTCATCGAAATGTATGCACTAAATGTAAACTAGTAGCGAGTTCTATAAAAGACATCTTACTGAACTTTTTTAAGTTCTAAATTTTTGGCTAAAAGTTAAAAGGGTTTAGTATAATTCCTGCTTTTTTTAGAGAGAAGATATTGTTTGCATCATACACTAAAATAATTTAGCTGCACGATATTTGTGTATGTTAAAGTTTCTTTGTAACTCACATGAAATGAATAAATTCCTTAATATAAAAAGAAAAACTTGCATCCATATTGTGTAAATCAGTGTCGACACATTAAAAAAGTAAGAGAACAAGTAAAAATCGCTCTTGTTGTGAAATTACAACACACCTTCTCTATTCTTCTCGATCAAAAGTTGTGGAGAAAAATTACAATATTCGAATCTATATATTTAACAAAAAGATGTTATCGTAGACAGCTAGTAGGACTTTTCCCATAGGATTCTCTATCTTGTCCGTACAATCGGTGGATAGTCCTTATTAGTGCAATCAAATGATGACATTGACTGAATTCAAAACAGTTAATGAACATCATTTGAGACAAGAATTCGTGATCAACGTAGAGGACTCTCGCTCTAGATACAGGTGTAGATGTTTTCCTCTTCACAACCACACTCACTCAACCGAACTAAGAGTTCTTCTGCTCTATCACTTGAGCTTCTCGTGCATACTAACTAACCACATACTCGACATAAGGGTTGGTTTATGCTACAACGTAGTCAGTATACTATTGTACAGATGATCCGAGACAAACTCACACCCACCCATTATGCTACATGAACAGTGATAGCAGTGCCAGAATTTTTGGTCAGGAAGACTCAGCGTCCTTTAGACATCCTGTGCGATCATCGTTACAAGTAACTGTAAAACGTTTCCATAGGGACTCATCGAGTTTCAAAACGCTTAACCTCATGTAGTGACGCTGCTAATGGATAGATTGTTATTCTGTGAAGTATTTATATGAGCATTATTATATTTTCGAATGCCACCAGTATTGAACTTGCTTTCTTTTTTATATTGTTCAATATAATACAATAAATTTAAAAAACAAAAACTTTAAAGTAGGTGATATTTCCTGAAATGTTTCTTAACTCATTTCTATTTTTAATATAAGTAAGTATTTAATAAAAAAAGAAGAAAAATAGAAGGGTAAGGGGAAGGTGAAAAAAAAATTGATTTTTACCTAAATGTTCTTTATCGATGATCCTTAACATGAATCAAGAATTAGTTTCGTATTTCATCTCTCTACAATTACATATGACTTAAAAAAAAAAAGTATACTTGTCCAAAAGTTACAGGATAAACATAATTGGTCATTGATACATTTACTAACTATATATGAGACTAATTCTACTGAAGAAAAAAAAAGGTTTCTTAGGTTTTGTAATGTACACAAAACTCTCTTTAACTTTTATATCCCACATCTGTTCCACTGTGATTACACATATCTCAGTTCTTAATGCGTGAAATACAGCATACAATTAGACTATCAAAAGTTTTTAAAATAGGAAGCATTGTATTTATGTAGTTCTACCCGAGTTGTTTTCTTGTTTTTTCTTCGTCTTTGTTTTTAATTCATTTACCTGTCCATAGATACCGGTACCAGCATGAATAGCTGAGCATCATTCGAATTCTAGTAATATTCCATTTAACGTTCAGTATGTCATGCTATAGCGTAACTTTTATTCGTCAAAAAGAATTTGGTCTGTCTCTTCGTTCTCCAAGTCATACAAAATAAAGGCTTATGTATGAGAAAAAAAATTACTCATAAATTAGTTATGTTTTTGTGCTTTTAAAAGTCGCTTCTATGGAAACATCATTATTGAAAAATTAAAAGTAAAAATGAAAAGCAATCCATTTAATTTTAGCGTATGACGAGAGTTAGTTTTCTTGAACAACATATCACTATGACATCAAAATAAGAACGACATAGAAATGTCGTTTCTCCGCAAAGTAAGTTATAAGATTGTGAATATTTCTTTTTTGATATATTCTATTTATTGATCATCACCTATCAATAAATATGTAGACTATACGAAGAGATTTAGTTCGAGAAATTATCGATGTAATCTATTTTTGTCTTTTCAACTTTTGTTAAAACAAACATAGCTTGCTTGTATAATTAAGAAACTAGAGTAGATCAGAAAAATTTAAAGCATTTTTTTTCTGCAGCGCACACCAGAGCCGAAAATCGTTTGAAAGCAGTGTATAGTTCACGATGTAGTCCACTCGAATCACTTATTTTCGATTAATTTTAGTCATATACTAGGAAAAGAAGGCAAAAAATATGTTTTCTCTCAGCAGTGATAAGTTAAAGATGCTTTTAGTATTTTATCAATATTTTCGTTATCGAAGAACAAAAAGAAATTTGAAATATAAACCATTAAATGTAAAAACTGAACAGAGTTCATATTGATCTAAATATGTTCGAAAAATAATCTATGCTGATTATTGACTATTAATTATGAAGAATTTGTGTCATCATTTTCGACTTAGAAGAAAACCATGGGAAAGAACATAGAAATTAAACAACACTATCGATTTTTTCACTTTGAAATAACTCGTCATAACGAGACATTTTTTTCAGCATTCTTTTAGATTTAATTAGCATTCTATGAATAATTAATAAAACTGAGCTTGAAGAGAAAACTTAAAAACTTTGAAAAGTAGTTCAGTTGGTAGAGTAGAGTGCACTCTATTAAATGAGATCTTGTAGCCTTCTGTATGATGGAGCGCACAAATGATATAAATCTTTGTTAATGTTCAGAAGTTTCAGCAATAATTTCCAGCAATTCCGTTTTTGTTTTGCGCTCAACTGTTTTTAAAGTGTTTTATCACCTTTGTATTCTAGCGTACATAAAACTGCAATATCTCATTTAATAGGGGAAACTCTACCCTCCAAAATGAACCACTTTTCAATGCTGTCTTTTATGGTTTTCTTGAAAGTTCGGAATTATGATTTGAATGCTTTATAATTATTATTCAATTATCGCAGTGTATAGTTTTTCCATCATATTTGTTTTATAATATAGTCCGTTTAATTTAATATCTAATACTATTTTTAAAATTTTTTCTGTTCTTTGATAAGGAAAAAATCGACAAAATACTGTGCTGACGTATGCTTCAAAAAACTTAAAAGAGTACCAAGTGCTTTAACTGTTTCTGCTCCACATTATCATTTTTTTCTTAATTATTAGATGAAGTACAAAATTTAGAAGAAGGTTTTGGAGCATGCCGTATGATTCTTGCTGTATTATCTTATATACTTTTTGCATTCGCATTTCTGTTTTCACTTTTTCTTGCATTAAAAGTAAGAAAGACAGAAATATATACATGTATTAAATAGTTTTATATAAATATATATTTAATTCATAAGCTGTCCAAGAATATGAGCAAGCAGTTATTCTGTGTCTCGGTCGAACTCTCACTAGTAGAAATATGGTCAGAATAAAACGTAAATATTATCATTAAGTTTTTTTAGTTGGCACCAAAGGTCCTGGTTTATTGTTCGTTTTACCATGAATTGATTCAATGAATAAAGTCGTTTTACGAATTGATTAGTCACTATCGTGCCCATCCAAAGAATTGTTATTATTCCATTTGTTGATTACTTTTTTTTTCTAGTTACTTTTAATGTTTCTCCTCAAGAAATTCTTACATGAGATTCAGTGGTTTGTAATTAAGAGAACTGTAAATAATCTTGTTGATTTTTCATTTTCATATCGACAGTTTCAGTCGATGCCGTTGTTTATTTTCGAATCTCTAATCCAATAATAAGTGTAACTAATTTTGCAAATCCACGTGTTTCAACACAATTACTTGCAGCTACAACACTTCGTAATATATTGTAAGTAAACCGATATAAATAATTAACTTCAATAAAATGTTGTTTTCTTTTTTATAAATTATAGAGGTACAAAAACTTTATAAAAAATTTTAACTGATCGTGAAAATATTTCACATTTAATGCAAACTCATCTTGATAAAGGAGCTGAGCCATAGAGAGTGAAAGTTGAATGCGTTGAGATGTAAGTTATTGAAAAATAATTAATTTCTTTTCTTTTCTCGACAACTTTGATTACTTAATTTAGCAAAGATGTAGGTCAGAATTTGTTTTATTTTATTTTTTTATTAAATAATAAGATTTTGTTTATTGTTGCAGCTGCTCGAGAAGCTCATGCGAAAGTCATTTCGGCTGAAGAAGAAAAAAAAGCATCGCAATCATTAAAAGTAAGATTTTCTTATTATAGATATGCAGTTTAGGATTAATTTTATATATTTAGAAAACTGCTGATATAATTAATGAAAGTTCAATTGTATTACAGTTATGTTACTTTCAAACACTAACCCATATATTAGCCGAAAAAAATCAACAATTGTTTTTGCAATACCTAGTATGTGGATTCTACACTTTTAATTTTTCTTTTGTATTATTTTTCGTTTTAGTCGAATTTTTGAAATTAATGAGAGCTCGAGGCTCGCATTCAACTACTGATCGTTTTTGAACTATACTAATGTTCACTTTGTTTACATCCATGATTACTCTTAAACAACAAATAGTCTTTTTTTTTATTGATATAAGCAAGATAAAATAATGTTAATTTAATATTCGATGTCAATACTAAACTTACAAGTGAACATTCCCAGGTGTGGGTATGCATGGGAGTGATAGGGGAAGTTGATCTTCTCTTCACCCATAACCACATACCCACAATTANCTCGTTTTATTCTTTTGCATCGTACTACTCAACATGTCATAATCATAGAGAGACCTTTCGTGAGTTCGCTGTAACGTTCTTATCTTATCAATGTCACTATATTTTATTGTAGTTCGCGAAGGAGCGGGTAAGCAACCAGGACAAGCAGATATTTAACAGCCATTTGTCTCCATCTCACAATAAGGAAGTGATACATTGACCATCCGTTCGTTGCTAATGAACAGCAGAGAATGTTGTCTATCTTTTTGCTATTATCCTATCTGTGCTTCGACAATGACTTGTTTTGAGTAATAGAAACAAAGATGCAGCAAGCTTTTTCTTTTCTTCTTTAGGTCGATGTCATCTGAAACACCAGTCTATGTGCAATTGGGACCAAGAAAATGGAAATTAGGTGGTGAATATTTGAAACTATTGGAACCATGCAACTGCATTGTTTGAACGCAGAAGATGTCGGTAGTGCTCTGAGAAATCAACTCGATAATAAGGGCTATATTTATTTGAAACAAGTTTTACCAGAAGAGGATGTGTTGAAAGCAAAAGTTGCTGATATTACTCCATTACATTGTATACAAAGACAATCGATTTCTATGCTACGTTTTTTTATTATTTTGCCTAGTTCTCGAATATCTACAGCATCTGAATGACACAGGAGTTATTACAAAACAAATATTCTCCTCGTCATATATTGATGGTATCTTATCTGATAGTTGTGATATTGGTTCCATTCCTAGTCTGGAAGGAAGTAATCCTATTACTAATCATCCTGCAATGCTTCATGTCATTGAAAATCCTTATTTGTATGATATTTTTACTTCTATTTTCCATGGTATTCATCCTGTTACATTTGACTATAAGTGGCTGAGAACTATGTACCATGGCGGTAATACCGGTTGTCATATGGATCGAGTGTATATGAATCGAGGTTCATCAGAATTACTCACATGTTGGATTCCATTGGATAATATTGCGCTAGATATGAGTGTATTAGCTATATTGGAAGGGAGTCATCGAATGGATAGATCTGAAAATGATATATATACGAAGCTACAGCATACATACGCCGATATGGATGTGGAGAGGGATAAATTACAAGGAACAGGATGGTTCACCGAAGATCCAATGGAATTTTATCATTTGAATGAAGCATGTCAATCATGTGATTCACATCCCGTTTGGAAGACAACAGGTGATTTTTAACAAGATAAATCTTTTCTATGCGCCGATATTTTGCTGTTTAAGAAAGTATAGTCACAATAAGAACCTTACTTTTAGTCATAGTTTCTGTGAATATAAAAAAATGTTTGTTAGAAGGAAATTTATTACTTGAATATTTTATAAATTGAGTGATAAAAAAATCTGATGATTCATCTATGTTTAGCTTTCTCCGCTGGTGATATTCTCATCTTTACAATGCGTACAATTCATATGTCCTCCGTAAATTTAACTAATAAACTGCGTCTCTCATGTGATACTCGCTGGCAACCATCAGATCATCCAGCAGATCCTCGATTTATTCGACTCGTGAAAAACAATTTAGTTGGGCATGGAGATACTAAATTTGGTCTTTATGCTAAGACTTCGAAGAAGGTTGACGATGACAAAACAACTATGGAACAATGGCGAAAAATATGGGGATTTCCGATAAGAATAGAAGAATGATTTGATCATTTCACTTCTGAGAGATGACTTTATTAAATTGTGAATCATTTGTATCAGTAGCTGTTACTAAAGTATTACAGCAATCGACTCATTTTAAATATAAACTGCAATCTTTTTTCTCGATTTTCTTTCAGAATTAGATTTCCAAGTGGTACATTCACATTGTTTTTTATGAATGATCTTTGCTGTAATTCACCTCATACATAACTTGCTAGATCAGCTGCCGAAAGTTGTTCTACTAACACTGAGCTTGCTTTTCCACACATACAATAGCAGTAGTAATGTTGTAACGCGGTAAGATTAGAATGGTTTCTGCTGAAAAAGTACTTTGCTTTGCCTGATATCAAAGGAATTTATGAGAAGATGTCCATATTGTATGCTATTGTTCAACTATTACTACGTTCAATAGGAAATAATTAATTCGTATAAAGATTCCTTTCTACTTATAACATTTACAAATAGCATCAGAAAATTAGTTTTTTTCTACAGTTCATAACCAGGAAAGTTTACTCATTAAGTTATGGCTAAATATGTACCAGACTATTTGTTTGAATAGATAATTTTAGCATATTATCACCGGAGCTGAGCTAGTATGAATCTTCTCAAGTACCAGATTCTTGAGTACAAAAGTTTCGAATATGAGAACTTGCTAACATAAATTCGAAGCTGTCGCAATATAAAATATACTGATTTGTATATATAAGATACAAATTAATCTTCTAGTCTCAAGTCTTGTTGTTTTTTCAGCAATCGATCTTTTTGTTGAAGATAAAGAATAAATTAATGTAATTTGTATAAGCAATTGATTAAGAAAAACAGAGTTCATTCGCCGACGCCTTTCGTGTTTTTTCATTAGTAAATATTAACACTCCTCAGGATTCTGTATTCAGTTTTAAGGACAAAATTTAAGAATAATATTATTAAAGTATCTATGGCACAATATCAATACCATCTGATATCGACACTCATTATGGAAGGGAAACTATCCTCATCAGTTGTTTATACTAGCATGTGACAAAAAATGTGTGAGTTTAATATTTCGTCAGAAAAACGAAATTTGAAGATGAGATGTGTGTGAAGAGAAGATCCATACCTGCATCCTTCTTTCTCTCGTCTTTTGTTTATTGTTGCTCTTTCTCATCATTTAACCTATTCATCAATGTTACTTAAACTATGTCACTATGCAGTTGAAAAGAGAAGGTATAAACATCGGCAGTGAATATTTTGTCTCACTGCGTAAATGTTTCATAAAGTATTGTTTATTGTCACAACGAGCAAAACTAAAACAGCAGAAGTTGAATTATAATTCTGTATTTTCATTTGCATTCGAAAGATATGAAGCTAGTAAGAACAGTACGATTTTCAAAATTCTAAAATCTTATTCATATTCGATGTTCTCATCAGGCTGAGCTGTCAAATAAGCCTGATACATACTGCATGCGAAGAAACTGAGCCCTTTAGTACAATAACTATGTGTTTCATCCTAAATCTTCAGTAACATTTTAAAACAACTTCTTGTAATGATTGTGGCTGTTCAGTGTAGATTTTATTCTACCAAGCTTAAAAAAACACGTTCATTGATATAAGTCTCTTATTGTTATTCATATTTTCTTTGATAACGAGCCACTTGACTCTGTTGATGTACACTTTCATAAATTTTTGAACTGGAACTTGTTGCAGTTGAATAAGTACCACGTTCAGTTGCATGCTGCATATAAGCGTTGTTGTGTGTCGAACGATAATCACGTTCAGTTGGATATCGATGCTCAAGATCTTTAATTAGCTGTTGACAGAATGGCTCTCGAGCTGATACACTAGCCTTGATATTGTTAACTTGAGTTTTAAGTAAGGCAACTGATCGACTATAATTTGGTTCATTCATAGCTCGTCTTAGTACAAGTGCTGTTGCTATTCGATTTCGTTGAAGATCAATTGTATAACTAACTCGAAGATAATCCGATGATAAATTCGAAGCTCGAACAAGATGAAATGGAACAGATCTCATAGTAAACATGCAGCTACTCTTCGGGTCAACATAGACGACCGAGACACGACCTAATCAGATATAAACAAAATATTTAAAACAACGTTCATTTAAGATACAGATTTGAATGACTGAATTTTTCCTCTTCAAGTGACACTGTCGAAGATAATATTACGATTGAAAATGTACTGTCAACTTACCAATTACATGATTTGAGACATATTGCTGTTGTTCACGATAGTGATATTCCGAAGAAGATTTGTCTTTTACTTTAGGTACATGTAGCTGAAAGATGAGATTTCGTTTTTCGTCAGCATTGAGATCATTTAACTTAAAAGTAATCTTCGAAGAAGGTAGTCGTTCAGGTTCATATTTATATACAGAGTGAGCATGTGTCACTTTGTACTCGCCGTTGAATTCAATATTAACACGAATATTTTGTGCCACACATGTCAATAGACCAGCCAACGTCATAGCAAATGCTGGACCCACAGCTTCATGTTTATCCTATTCAAAAGCTTTATATCAGTTACTACATACTATTATCCCTTTCAATTAAGTGATTCTTCTACATTTTAGGTAATGAAAACAAACAGATAATTGTCAACTATTACATAAGACTGCTTGAGTTTTCAGAAATTTATATACGAAATAATTCTCTTGCAATTGATGAGTTTAAGCTAAAGAAATTCTCTATGTATTCGATTAACTGAAAACCTAATTTGAACGAATCATTGGTTAAGTTACTGATTGGCATAATTTTTTCTTCACTATGACAATATGATTACTATTTAATAGATCCATAAGTCGATTGACATTTTTTACGGCAAATTTGGTGAGAACAAATACTTCTATCAACGCTTACTCTCTAAACATATGTTAAGCGACAAAATCATTTGAAGTCAGTTACTTGTATCCAAGTACATTGACTAGAATTGTGTTCAATCTTGCAAAACTGTTTCAAGTAAAGTAAAGCAATTCTCTGAACTTACAATGTAAGTAAAAGTACCGTCATTGCCTTGTTCTGCTAATTGTACTAATAAAGCTGCTTCATGATCTGATCCATAGCCAAATGTATGACAAACTACGCCTCTAGGTAATCTTTCCATGATGTCGGAATAATCGTGTACTTCATCATCTTGACCATCGGTGAGCAAGAATAAAGCGCCTATGGGATTTTTTGTCTGACGACGTCTCAACACTTCAATGCCCATTTCTAAACCACCTCCGATATCCGTACTGAAGCCATCCTCGATGTCATCGTTGATCACCATGTTCAATTTATGTTTACTAAATAATAATAATATGATCTGATGCAATGCACAATAAATATCTGAAAGCCGCCTTTTTTCCTGCACTTGAATAATTTGCATAAAACTTATTGCCGACTAGAGATCGACGTGAACGTTTTATTTCAGTACAATATACAATCACAAATTTGCTTCAATCCGAAAAGAAGGCTCATGGAAAATGAGATTTATCACTATGAATCATTAAGGATGATGACAGTTTTTCCTATCGAATTCATAGTATTCAATCATTATGAATCAATGATAGTGCATCATAAGGCAAAGAACAGAATGCTATTTCTGGTGCAATCGATATGCATATCTGTCGAATAATAAGAAAGTAGTGTTGAAAACACATGGAGAGAGCTTCTTTTTTTATCTATGATCATTTCGTTTGTCTCTTTTCCCGGTCATTTATGACAATAATATTGTCGAACAATAGAAGTAGGAGAAGCAGCAATCACTCACAGTTTCACTGAGTTACTTGTTTACGCACAATAACTTTTGTGTTATATGTATTGTCATAGGTTTTGCCCTCGCTTTTTTTTTCTCTCTCAAACTGCAAGCTGCACTGAAATCAGCAGATACACACTTACTTTTTTTCATTCATTCGTTTCAATCCATGAGATCGATCATAAGCATGATTATCAAACGAGATAATAGCCAATCGATCGAGTTCGGTTAACTGTTCAGTAATATACGTTAATGTTTGTTTTAATAAGATCATTTTGGCACCGGACATTGATCCACTTTGATCAACAACACAAACAAGATCAATCGGAACACGAGACAATGATGATGATCCATTGTTTGTTGACGAACGACGAATAAAAGGTGCTTGAAGAGTAACAAGTCCATATATGTTTGATTCTTGATGAGACAGTTGTCCTTTGAATTCTAGTTTTGTAGAGACAGTTATTGCAGAAGGATTAGTCGAATTTGAGGATGCATGGATCTGTTGAGTGCTAGCAACTTGAACAGAAAGTGCCCGAACAGCCGTTTCATCAACTAAATCTTCTGTGGAAGGCGGAATCTGTTTAAAAGTTATAGATAGTATGCAATCATGTTTTCATGAAAAAATAATTGAAGCGAGCATAAGAAATTGAAAGACAAGGGCTTTTTTACGTCAGACTCAAGTTGATTATTTATTATTAGGAAGAGCTCTTTTCTGAGTTGTTTAGTATAAAAAAGCCTCAACATATCTTCGGTAGGCTTGTAGTCGTCAATGTTGTTTGACATCTATCGGTTACGTTTAAAAGCAAAACATATTTTACGGAGATGTAGATTTCCTACATCTGGAAGAATATTTAAAAAGCTGCGAAATGACAAGTATATCAAAATTTTATACATTAGTGGTAGATCTAGTGGACTACTCTCAAGAACTCTTATGTACCAAATCAGATTAATATTTGACCAGTTCTTTTCAAGAAAATCATGATTAAAATATAAACAAAGTTCATATGTGAGATAATAATAGATTATCAACGTTTAAAAATCTGTTTTGTAAGTGTTTTTTCATTGTTCAGATGATGGCAATAATTATTTAATCCGATGATTTTTATATAAAAAGAGTCACTGATTACAGAAAGGTACTAAAACATTGAAACACTTGATGTGCAAAATTAACTTATCTTTTTCAGATATGACTACTATTTCAAATGAAACACTGTACTTTGACACCAGTGACCACTGAACTCTTGTTCTGACCTGTAAAAATGTTGTCTTCGATATAAGAAGTACTTTTTTCTATACAAAATGCAAGATAAAAGAAAAATAAGAAATAAATAAGATTGAAACGTATAAAACTATTCAATGGTAAAGTTCTAATTTATAATTCAGCCAATACATGCCCATATAGACAAAATATATTTTAAATATATTTTTATTGCATCTATGAATCACGCGCACTTCTTTTTACACACTGTTGAGCAGAAGTAAAATACTGTCAATATGAGAAGAAATTGCACAAGAGCTACGTAAGTATCATAATGAATAGTTTGAGACCGACTCGATCGATTATTTCGATACATACGATGTAAACATTGATAATGAATACAACGAAATGTTGAATTATTTATTGCTTTTTAGTAAACAGATGGAGAAACAATTTTGCAGAGATCAAATAATCGAAATATCTGTCACAGTGTGTCAGTATGCTAAAAGAACATTGATAGGTTTATCGCAGTTTTTTGGAACAAACTGGAGACGATGGAATCAGTTCTCGCGCCATATACTTCAACATCTATTAACAATGATATTAAAAAGAAGTCTTACATAATTTCTGTAGTGATTTAGAAGTAGGTAGTATGACTAATCGAAAGATGTATTTAACTATTACAAAATGAGAAAAGGGAAAAATCACTCATGCGTTCTATCGATTGATGTGACCAATAACGAAAAAACCGAAAACTAGTTGCAACACTGCGATAAACAAAAAAGTATTGTTAGTAAATATATTCAAGTATTTAGGTTTCACATGAACAAATTAAGTTATCCTTGAAACTAACAGTTGATAAATGTATAGGAAACATCCAACAGTATCTAGGAAAACTTAGATAGTTAAGAACAAATCAGTCAATCTGTATTAAAATTCTTAGACAACATATTTTCGCTGATACATTTCCTCGTTTCGCATGATTATTTTCTTTGTTTTCCTTACTGCTACAGATTCAGCAACAACTATTACTACAGAAATTGTTCACGAAAGAAATGAATACTATTTATTGAAATAAAATAGTTCTACATAAGAAAAAGTAGATAACATCTTTTTCTCGTTCGTATTTTTTATTTTTTTTTCGCTCTAAATCGTATTCGTTTTCGAATATCTCTCTTTGAATCGTTCATTCTTCGTCTTTCCTTTTTTTCTGCGACTACTTCTTATCATTGTGAAACTCAAAGTAATAATGATACCACTATTAATACATGGAAGTTCTTTTATTTGTGATACTATTTTCAGCTGAATCTCTCATATATTCCTATTTTCTTCAAACATATGTATGTTCCACAATAAAAAAAAACACACAGGTAATAAATACTTCACTTACAGATGAATACCTAGTATGATTCCGACGATCTCCATAAAAACTTCTGCGATATAAGTTCGTCGGTGTCTGTTTCTGATGTTGTTGCTGCGAGTCACTACGAGCTTCTGTCAATAATTGAATGATTGACGCATCAATTGTCACTCGACACAGGGGACATTTGTCATGTTGTGCTCGTACGCTAGATGCCAAACATTCAAAATGAAATTTGTGATTACAAGATAAAGTAAGAAGAGGTATGCCTGATGCTAAGGCACTCAGACAGATCGAACATTTGTCGATTGCTGCATTAGCCGATTGATAAGAAGACGTTCGAAGCGTTGTCGTCATATTATCATATTACGCGTATCGATATAAAGAAAAATAATGAATCAATCAGTTGTTTTTTTAATTTATATATCCAACGATTACACTGTTATTGCATCATATCATGTTAGTCATCCGATCGTGTTATTAAATGTGTAGTGCATTGAAAGGAAGTGAATAATTTTTTATCGAAATATTTATTACAGAAATTTCCAATCTAGCAGTATGAGTGTGTGGATCAAACTCGAAAAACAAGCGAAACATCCTTTTAAGCTTCATCAAATATNACAATTTTTTTTATAACTCAGTCATTTCTCGACGGATCCTTCTCATCTTCGAACTCGACCGAGATATTGTAAAGACTGAACTGTGCAAAAAATTTCATCGCGATCTGACTCTCCTTTCGAAAGTTATCGTGTAAACGGCCGGACGGCCGGCCGGACATACTGACCGATTCTAGAGTGTACTCACTTTTTGAGTACACAATAAAAAGAGACCTGGAAACTAATTTATGCAATAAGAATTCCATTAACTCAAACATCTTTAAATTTCTATAACATTAGTCAAAATAGAGCAATTTAATGTCGCTTAAGAGCTAAAAGAAATGTATTATATTATTTATACCATGACTTAGATTAACAGCATGTTTAAGTGAATAAAGTTCACCACTTTTACTTTGCATTAATCCATGTTCAATTTTAATATGTTTTCCTTGTTTTAAACGATTAGCTAAATCAGCAACAAATTCAACTTCATCATCAAGTAAAGCTTCCCAAATTCCTATTTAGAAAAAAACAACAACAACAATAAAACAATTGTTGAATTTATTTATTCTACCTAATTTAACTGAAAGTGCAAGTGCATTTGAAACAGTATATTTATCAAGTAATTGTTCACTTTCCGATTGACGATTTAGTTTAATAATATCATTATTAATTGTACTTACTGTAGAAGTTTCAATAAAATTCATAATTTCTTTTTCATTATTAATTAAATCTTTTGGATATTGATTATCACTAACTTCACCAATCAAAAAGACAGAAAAGAAAATGAAACATAAAAAAAGAATTTAAAACAAAAAAAAAAAATAATTCTTATTTACTTCATTTAAAATTAATTTTTCATCATCATTTTGAACATTCCAAAAAATGACAGCACCATCATCAAATATAAATACTTCACTTTTTTCTTTTGTTTCACGATATATTTTAATACATAAAACATTATCTATTATATTTGATATAGGTAATAATTCAAATGATTTTGATAATAAAGTAAAACGTTCTTTTAATCGATCTAAATCATACCAATCAGCTGTAGCATATGCAATTACATTAAAATATTGTTCTTCAAGTTGATTTAATATATTTGTTTCTGTCCATGTAGGTTTTTTTCTTGGTACACGTTTTAATACAGGTAATTTCATTGATGATGATGTTGATATATCAGTTCCTAATGTTATTTGTTTACTTTTAGAACATTTCAATGGACGTTTTGTTGATAATGATCGAAATTTAATTAAATTTGATGATTCTTGAGAAATAAAACGACAATATTTTATTCCATTTAATATTATTGTATTATCAAATGAATGAATGAGACGAAGAAACATCTGAAATTAATTATAGATAATAATCAAGAATTTCACTTCGAAATTGTTTATTTATTGTTAGTTTAAATATTTATATTTTATGTAAAAAATATCAGCATATTTTTTTTTTCGAATAATAATTAATATCCGAAAAAGATTCTAATCCGTTAGAAACTATATTAATTCAAGTTCATTAAGTGCTTTTAGCTGATACACACACACCCATCATTTGTTTCATTCTATGCCTGTGTATGTACATGATTCTATTACGTGCATGTATGTATCGTTAAGAAAAATCGTTCATTTGACCCGAATTCAAGTCTTTAAAAATAACATTTTATTTCATCTTAAAACTATGATTATTTCGATTGTTTTAATTATTATAAATAAATTCATTTAATTATCTAATTTTTATTGCAATGATTCATATCTTTAACAAATAATAGGTAGGACTTGGAAACAATCTTTGCATTCTACTGACATCTATTGAGACAAGAATAAAGTTGTTTTATTTTAATAAAAATTGAAAACGTGAAAATATTCTTTTTTTTGATTCATGTAGAAACCTGCTGTTCTTTAATTATTTATTTCATTCTTCTTCTCGTTTAATTGAAATAAAAGACTTCATTTTGATTATATTCAAATATTCTACCAAGTGATCCCTTGATTTCTACAGATTTTCTTTTTGCATAAAATACTAAAAATGGTTATTTATTTTATATACTTTTAGTAAAGTAGATAAATGATACAAAGAATAAACACAAAAAAACCTAAAATAATTGCATACCAACAATAATATTATCATAAAACGTGTTCCTAAAGTGCTCTTTTGCTTATTGTATATATGGCATGCAGTTAAAAGTATAGCTACAGAGAAAAAGAAAAAAAAATTCTATTAAAACATCAGTAACAACAACAAGAAATGAAATGAAACAGAAGAGACTAGATTTGAGAACAACAAAAAAAGATATCGTATATCACTGTTATGGTTGTTGTGGTTGTTGTTGTTGTTGTTGTTTTTATTGTTATTAGTATTATTTATTATTATTATTATTATGATCATTATTGGTGACGTTTCCATTTGAGACGTTTAACTATTCGTTGAGTAGCACATAATTGACATTCTATTCTCCATACACGATCTAATTTAATCAAATATGTTTGTGCCGTTTGACATATTAAGCATGTAACATATTTATCAAGAAATTTTCGAAGAACATTATCAAATATTGTTTTTGTTGTACGAATATTTAATATTAATTGTTCACGGTGATTTATAAATGATTGACATGAATAATATTGATGAATATATTGTTGAAATAGATGTGAATCACGTTTTAATGAATGAAATAAACGTATATATGATTTCCAATTGATAACTATTGTACGTGATTGACCAACAATTAAATCAGCATGTGGAATTGATATTTGTGTTTGACTATGTAAAATAATTTCCGTTCGATCACGTTCATATTTTTCAATACAACGAACTAAAAGACGATCATAATCATAAAGTAAATCAATAGAATTAGATTCAGATGAAATCAATGGTAATGGAAGATTTTCATTGCTATTGTTAATAGGTTTTCCTTCTTCTATTTCTTCTTCTATTAATTTTGGTTGTTCATCAACTTGTAATGATATAATATTATCTTCAATAATAGATGATGTTCGACGACTTGATGATAATGAATTTGATACTAATGATAATGATTTTCGTCGAAAAAAACGTTTAAAATGACTAAATAATTTTCTTTCAAACCATGATGTTGTATTTGTTGTTGTTGTTGTTGATGATGAAGATATTGAAGTTGCCCAACTATTTCTTCTATCATATTGTGCGGTTAATATATTATCTTTCATAATTAAATGAGGAAAAATATCAACATCGACAGACATCTGAAAAAAAACAAGATTGGTTTTTGAGTTTGTTTCTTTTTTTATATAAAACCGAAGATTGAGTAGAAATATATTTTACATAAATTTACTTGTCTCATTCTCGATTTGTGTTTTGTTACTCTATTTATATATATATATATATATATATATATACATCCCCATCTCTCTTTTCTTTTCTTCTACTTCTTGATTCGTTGAATACGTCAGCCGAGAAGAAAAAAGTAAGAGAGTGAAAGAATACAAAAACACCAACAATATGAATCTTTACTGGTTTGTCAGCTGTTTCGTTATACACAATGAGCCTTATTTCCATTTCGATCTTTGGCCACGAACATGTATAAAAGTAGCTACACAGTAAATTACGTGTTATTGAGGACGTCCTCTTTTCTTTTATCTCTTTTTTTATGAATCGTCTTCGTTGTTTAAATAAGGAAGACTTCATAAAGAGAGATAAAAGAAAAGAGATCGTCCTCAATAACCGTAGCTTTCAAACTGCGGACAAAGATCAAACCAATCTGCAGACCGACAGTGTGGGTAAGGGCGCAAATAGGTGTGATTTTTGACCGCAATTTGGAAGCAGCCCTCAATAACACGTCATTTATTATGTGGCCACTTTTATACATGTTCGTGGTCAAAAATCGAAATGGGAATAAGGCTCATTGAAAATGTAAGAATCGAAAATAACCAACAAGGGTAACCACGATTTTTAATGTAATGATGCAATTCTAATAAAAGTAAAAGAGCTGGATATAGGATTGGAACTGCATAATAAAGAAGATATGGCGTTTTATATCTTAGAGTCTTCTTCTTTTTCGTATATTTATATTCGTACGATAAGGGCAGAATCAAAAATTTTATACGACATTCATTTAATGTCTGTCGTTTCGTTCCACAGTCGAATACACTCAGCAACACCTTTGAATGAAACGTAAAAATGCGCGTTGGTGTCAGTGATAGTTATGATGCTATAGAATGACAGAATTGGAAGAAAACAATGCAATGTTTGCATATTATATTACTAAAATATAAGTGAAAAATATGCTCTAGAAATATAGAAAAAAGAAAAGGAATTGTAGATTGAGTATACTGAAATATTTTGCATTCATCATTCTTTTTTTTTTTTTTTGTTTATCACGATTTAATCAATTCCATTTCTTAGCATCTGATATTCATATTTGAAAAGATCAGTTTGCATGTTTTTACCAACGTGAAAATTAGATACCATCTGCCCCTTGTCGTACACGTAGTGCTTAGCCCATTAGAGTACTTTGATGTTAGGATAATATCTTGTCTCAAGGACAAGCACGTACATGAAATTGTGCGCGTCGTTGTCATTGGTTTTTTTCTTCAAACAGAAAAAAAAATTGTTTATCGTTTAATTACTCATTCTGGATTTTCTCATCGAATACTTGATACTAAGAAAAAAAATGTATTATAAAAAAAAACGAGTAACAATCGTTATATTAATTATTACGTGAATCAACCATCTGTTAATATTGACATTGAAAGCAAAAAAAAAAACAACAATGATGTATGACTACAGTTCTATAATAATAAAAAATTGGCCAGGTGTTGAAATTTATTTCTCATTAACAATTTAAAAGAAAAAAAAAGCAACTAAATAGTTACCTCAAACTGGCTTCTTTTTCCTTCTACATCAATATAAATGAAAGTAGAGAATAAACATTATATATAATGATGTAGTCCTTTGTTATTACTGTTTTCAAGTATTACTATTATGAATACACGTCATTACTCTTTCTCTAATTTTTCCGTTGTTCTAAATCACACAAGTACCATGTTTTTTCTCTTAAAATCCACATTGATACTTTTCTTCTTCTTTTTGTTTTTTGAAGAAAAAATTGAGTTCAAAAAAATAATGACTCAGCGTAAACCAATAGATTTTAATTCTCTTTGTTGGATTGTAGAACGACATTCTCATTTCTTTTTACTAGAATAATGTATTCAAATATATTTGTACAGTAAACATATTCATTTTCAGACACTTAAAACATTGAGTATACATTGCTTTTTTTTTTTCAAATGCAATTTATGACAATTATATATTTTTTTATTGTCTTCTATCTATGTTGCGAATAGAATAATCTTTGACAATATCAGTATAAATCAATGTTGAACAGTTTTATTAATACTGCAAGTCGAATAATGAAATCCAGAAAATTTGTCCTAAAAATAAAATGACACTTACATTTTATATCTACTTCAATGATCAGTCATTATCAACATAGATAAATATTATTAAGAACACTTTATTTAATAAAAATTATTGCCTGAAGCACGTCAAAGCATGATTTTACTAATGCAAATAAAAGATAAGCTATATGAATTAAAACGTTTGACAAGTATATTGAATATGACGAACATAACAGCATAAATAAATCTGTAGCAAAAAAAAAATATGGACTTCGGAACGAGTTGAATATATATAAAGATTTATTTTAAGCTTTTAATTTATTTTACGAACTGCATATTAAATGTCAATCGAATCGAATAAAAATCGTTTGTAAAGGTAAAATTTTATCTCAATGAAAATTCAATAATAAGACTCTTTTTCTATTGAAATCAATTAAATAGATTGAGAAAATTTTTTCTCAAATAATTAAATAAGATTATCTATTTTTTGTACATTTTTAAATATAAAGTGAAATGATAGATTTTTTTTATATTTGCAGTTGAATAAATCTTTTTCATCTACACATCTTTGCTTTTAATTATCAAAATAACGACGTCAATTTGACAGCTTAATAAGAGTCATGTGACATAATATCTTGGATGAGAAAAACAAAAAGAAAGAAAAAGATATATTCATATCAATGTTCGAATAAAATCAACACAATGACAAGTACATTCATTATCTGAAAAGTACTTTAATCTAAATAAAACTAATTTCTCATAGATTTTATTCAAAGAAAACAAAAGGCACAAGGATTTTATCAAGTACTTTTGAAACATTCTGATATTCATAGTTTATCTGCGAGTAGAGTTCTAAAATAACCGAAAATATGTTATCAAAATGTCTCAATTTTCTAAAAAGAAAAAAAAAAAAGCTGTAAACCAAAGCAATCCTTTCTTTGTTTTTCTTTCTTTCAATACATCACAAAATAACAATCAAGTCTAACCAGATATCAAGATATGATTGAAGTAATTTTTGATTGGATAATAACTTGCATCTTCTCTACCATAATTTTCTTGATAAACCAAGAATTCATTCTATGATGAGTAATTAGATATATATAGGACTAAAAATTTTTCTTCATGATAAAACAGAATACTTTTGTTTAATTATCATAGCATATATGAACTGAAGAGCACTGAAAAAAAAAACCTCTCAAGAATTACAAGAAAACAAGGCCAAGGCCATTTGAATACACTTAAGAGATACCTCGAAAATAATAAAACCAATTAAAAATAATGTCCTTGCAAATTTGTTTTTAAAAACATAACAATAAAGAACTTCAATGACATAAAAATGTATTTTTATTCACAATATTAACTTCAATAGATCTATAATCAAATAATTCAAAGATTTTTATTTTATTCTTGTTTGATATGATTCTATATTATCTTCTAGTACTACCCAATGTCAATATGAGTTATTCGAACTTTTATCTTCTTCAACATTTCATGATTATTTATTTGAATTCTTCTTAAATTAACATTTACCTATGAACTTAAGTATAATTTTATCATATCTGAGATTTTATCACCTATAAGATAAAAAAAAAATAAAAAAAATCAAGAAACAAATTTTCATTTTATTTTCAATTTCAAACTCCCATTCACCTTCAACTAAAGCACATCGTCGTCAAGCATTTCCTATTGTTTCAATACCTACATACATACGGACATACATCGCCACACAACATCAATATATATAGAGAGAAAGAGAGAGAGAGAAAAAAACGCAATAGTAGTAGTAGTATTAATATAAAAATAAAGTCATTCATTTGAGACAAAGAAGAAGAAGAAGAAGAAAAAGAATGAGGACAATGAAGAATATATGTATTAGAAGAAAAAAAAGAAAGATGTATCGAAATGGGAATAATAAAGTCAAGTGCATTGCACAAGAAAAGAAAAACAATCCGTATATATATTTATGTTCATACACACCCGGATGAAGTATCTGCAACTGTTTTGTGTAATTCAATACTTTCTCTGTGTATATATATATGTACGCATACAAGGAAAAAAACAAGAAAGCAATCGGAAAATTAACATTAAAGAAAACTAATCTAAACGCAATAATCCTCTTACTCTTATCCTATATATTAGCAGTGACACAAAATTGATCTCGATATAGACTAGAAAACACAACAAAAGACAACATCAATGAAGAAATAAAATAAATATAGCTATCTATTATATATATAGCTATTCAATTTTTTTTTTGTCTTCTTTCATTGAGAATGATACGAACGTGCATATAAAACATATAATAGGGCGGAAGTAAAGTTAGTAGAATGGATACATACATGTTGAAAACTTCTATCTACTGACTAAAACTGTATTTGACTTCAATCTCCGATGATTTCACTTAACAAATAACAATAATAAAAATACACGTACATATATTAAAAAAACAAAACCAAAAAAAAAAAAAGAGAGAGAGAGAGAAAAAAAATACAAACAACACCTCTCAAATCATTCGATTGATGTTATGGATGTATTTAATTGTTGTCGTCTTGAACTTTTAGCATTAGCAAGAAATAATTCTTGAATATTTTTTTTTAAAATATTTAAATTAACTTCCATTAAAGCTATAAAAAAAGAAACAAAAAAAAAACAACAGAACATATTAAATTATTTTTAAATAGATAATATTTTTTTTTGGTTTTTACCTTCATTTATTTTCGATTCTTTTTTTAATATACATATAAGTGCTGTCGTTGGATTTATATCTTTTAAATAAAGTATAAGACCAATTGAAAGTTCAATTGTACAAAAGGACATTGAATCAAGCACCGAGCTGTTACTTGTTCTAAATAAGAACAAAAAAAAAAAAAAAAAAAAAGATATTTTAATATGCTTTTATTTCTTCAATAGAATTGTATGAGCTCAAATCTACTTGAACCTTGATCTATATCTCTAAATGTAAAATGATTGCCTGGAGTCATAAAACATATTCATATGAGTACTAATCTTTCAGTTCGTTATTAATATTGCCTTAAATTCTCAATAGAATTGGCTGACAGATGAAGACAAGAAAAACTACTCGTTGAACTCGACAAATCAGACAAAATCTATTATTTATTATTTAGATGTCGAATGCAACTATATATCTATCCTCATGAGTATTAAAAAAAATCGCTTATATATATATATATGCTTCATGAAATATTACACATTATAGTTTTCAATATTATCAATCATATACTGTAATTCTAAACTATAATATATATCGAAAATCGTATTCTAAGAATTTTGCGCATATTATTCATCTTTTGTTCAATTGGAAAAAAAAAATGTTTACCCATATATCGATGAAATGTCTGTATAAACATCAACAACATCACAACATAATTCTGAAAGTTGAGTTTCTACTGGTTTAGTGTCGGATGCAAGAAAAATTTTATTATAAATATCACACACAAAAATCTTGTCCAATTGAGTACTCTAAACAAAAATAATTAATAAAATAAATAAATAAATAATTATTTACTTCTGTAACTAAATTAAGCATATTTTCAAGTGCACGTAATTGTTTCATTTGATTTTGAACTATCTTACTAAATGCTTCATGTATTGAATGATCATAAATACTTGTTAAATAAAAACTAATAGAAAAACAAAAACAAAAAAAAAAAATCTTATAAATGAATCCATCCAATAAAAAGTAAAATATTCTCTAAGGATCATTTTATTTGTGACATACATTAGGAGATAAATTTTTTTGTCCCTATCATATTATGTACTAAAAGGCGAAAACTTTGTGTACATATAGACATCACGAAGATTGTCAATCATTGACAGCATTGCAACGCTATTACTACTTAATTTCAACGAGAGTTATCATTGACAATACCTATTGTTTCACGCTTGTTCTTACTATAATCAGAAAAAAACTTCTCAAAAAGAAAAAGTGTGAACTTGTTTCATTAAACTATCGATGAGTTATTGAAAGGATTGGTCTTTTTCAATGAAGATAATTAGGACATAGCATTGTATATTGAAGAGTCAAATGCCACACAACACTCTTCCCTTCGGGAGTTATGCAGCTGACAACAAAAATAAGTGTCACCCGTCATAACCCCCTTTTTAATAAACTAATAATGGCGCCATAATGTTGATGACTTACATTCTTAGTCAAGGGTATGTACACAGGTTTTCAGATATCCAGGACATACAGCGATCGAGATCGACCATGGGGGCAATAAATAAAATCAAATGTAACTCTAGCTACATATGACATTTCCAACACAACTTCATATGATATCATTTGTTTGAAATTTTGACTCAAAAATGATGTCAAGTAGACTTATAATCTTATTTATTTACTTGATAAGTGGTTTTTCAATTGAACATTCATGTAACATAACATTAACTTGTTTTTGAATAGTTGAATATCGTTCTAAACGATCTTGTTCATGTACACCATCAATCTTTTAAAAAAATATTTTGATTTTATTTAATTAATTATTATAATCTATAGAATTTACTTTATGTATTAATACTTCAAATCGTACATTATGACCATGTTTATACATCCATTGCACTGAACTAACTAATAAATTGATTGCATCAATATAATCTTCCTAGAAATGAAATAAATAAAAAATTTATTTTGTTAAATTTATTAAAAATTTAACTTACAGTAACATCAAGAACAAAAACAATTGTCGTAGAATTCGGTGCATATGTTTCAAAATCACTTAATGATGCTGTTTTTGGACCAGGTACATCACGAATTTGAAAGCGTACATATATACCACAAGTAAGTTCTATGAAATAAGAAATAAATTTTTTGTTAAAATATTTTACGACAATATATATATATATAGTTTAATACCATGTATTTGAACCATTTTTGTTTCTGGAAGTTTTAATGTTTCACCGGCAGTCATTTTTTCAAAGATAAGTTTTATTATCGATGTTTTACCACTTCTAAAATTCATTAGATATATTAAAAATAGAGTACAAAAAACAAATTTCAATTATTATTTTGTACTTTGTAAGACCCCACATAAGCAATTTTGGTTTGTCAATATCATTTATTTCATAATCATCATCGATTCGCTGTTGTTGTTGTTGTTGTTGTTGTTGTTGTTCATCATCATTATCATCTAATCGATTTTGACTAGGAAACTTTAAAGAGTGATGAACATTATTTGAAAAAGATCTTGTATGTGGATGATAATAGTTTTGAAATTGATGATGATATTCACCGCCTGTATTTAAAATATTATTTGTAGTGGTATCCATAATTCCAGTTCCACCGTAATTCATATCTGAAATTATCGAATGAACAATAACTACATGAACTATTTAAATAAACATGTGTTTAGAATTTAACGATTGGTTATGAACATCAACCATTCATATTCACATTTTTCTTATATGATTGTCTTTGGTAAGGTATGATGAATTGTAATAACAATAAACTTGGTATGTTAAAAATGTTTGATATACTTTTCTAGCTCCTCTTTTTTTTTTCTTTGTTTCTATTGTTCATATTCAATATTTATCATCACTAAAAATCGTCTACGACGACGTCTAGTTACCTTTTTCTTCTTGCTAGTAATCATATTGTTGCTTACATATTTTCTTTTTAAATAGTTTTATCCCTGTCAATGTCATCCTCCCATCACGAACAGACATATATACACCACCATGACCAACAGCATTGCTAATAACAAGAAGACAAACAGAACCGTATGGTGCTCTCTTATTTCTCCCCTTTTTTTACCCAAACTATCATATGGGTTTCTCTTTCTCTATTTATATGCATTCTCAGCTGTTTTTCTTTTGCCCCGTTCTCTTTTTCTTTTCTTTTTCTCTTGTTTGCCCGATTCACTCGGGCTAGAGACGAAGAATCAACCTTCGCGAGCATTCGACGATAAACAAGTAAGAGAGAGAGAGAGAGAGAGAGAGAGAACGAGCTAACGTCAGCCATATAATTTATGTGTGTCATCCCCTAGAGGTATCATGAGTATAAAAAAAAAGTGGTCGAAGAAGAGAACACAAATGTGTTTCTCTTTCAATCAGCTGTATACACTGTGTCGAGGTCTCAATCGTATGACAGATGAGACGAATAGACTTGAACTTCTCATGTTGCCTCTATTAATGGCATCGCCTGATGAAGAAAAAAACAAAAAAAAAAAAACAAAAGAACGATCGAGGATTTCCGTTTTATTGCATTCGATGATTGTTATCATTATTATTTTCAGATATTTTTCTTTATTTCGATCTAATCAATGTTGTTCGAATAGGATATTATTTAGAAGAAATTTTTTTTTTCTTTTTTCTTGGTTTATTTCAGGACATCGTGTTCCGATCACTAATCATATTTTTCTAATCCTTAATAATGCCACTGAGTACATCTTTTCTTCTCCCCTTGTCTTAAGTCAATAATAACAAATGATATGACAAACAGTCGGGTGAAGCCAAGTCAAAGAGGCCTTTGTTTTACATATATTTCTTTTTTACCCGATGATTTATGTTGTTTTAATACTGGCTAGAATAATTGAATATAAATACACGGAAAGAACACACAAAAAAAAAGAAGAAAAAGAAGAAGTGTGGTTTCTTATGAAAAAAAAAACATTAGTGCTCATTTATTCATTATTTATTATCGAGACGATTGAATAGGAAATCTGATGAAAGCTCATACATATGCATGATGATATCATCTCTAGGTTTTTCATATGTTGCTTTAGGTAGAAAAAAAAGGAAGAAGACAACTTGATTATATATTATGATGGTATCAACCAAGTATACCATATTCTTCTGTCTTTTCTTATTTTAGATTTCTGATTGTAAATGCAAAATAGGAGCAATAATAAATGTTCTACTCATTGATTTATCTCATTAATTATATATTATATCAATTGAATGTAAAAAATATATAAGAATCAAAAGGAAAATCAATTTGAGAAGAAAAAAAAATGTATATATTACCTTGTCGTTTTTCTATTCAATTATTGTATTTAATATTTTTGACAACAGTGAATAATAATAATAATAATAAGAACAACAACAAATCAAATGTTATCAAATAGCGATCTAATAAGGTTCTCAATTTGCACAAGCTCTATCTCAATTTGTTCTAGTTGTTAGTGTATCTAAAAATAACAAAAACAACTTTACCTATCTTTTGTTCTATATGATTTTTTAATACATTGAGAAGGTCATTTTTTTCTATGATGTTATACAGAATGTGAATAAAAAAGAATAAGAAAAAAAAAACACAAATCAAAGAATTTATATTTATTGTTTTTTCCCTCTTCTCTCTATATGTTTATATACAAAATATGCATTTCGTTCTGAAGTAACCTGAATAATGACCATAACATATATATATATACATATGTTTCATTGATTATGTTTTACTGTCAATATTTGAATGATATATAAATGAAATTCAATCTCTATGTTAATACCTAGAACAAATGTAGCTAATACATATATACATAAGATGAAGGAAAAAATAAATTATTTGGTGCTTTTCGATACATGTATAATAATATGTCAGTTGTTCGGATATATCAATGTTCTAGATAAATTAAAGCTATTATATATAGATATATATAGATATATATAGATTGTCCTCTAGTCTACTTGCTGTTGTTTTTTTCCCAGAACTAGATAATTATATAGTTATCGTCGTACATAAAGATTTATCTATTTTTTTTTCCTCACATCTGTATATACCCAAATTCTTTTCTACATTGTTTCTTTTTTCATGTTTTTTCTAATGTCATTTGTACAAGAATATACTAATTTACTGAATCATAAAATAGGATATATTGGGTACAATGAACATATTTTAGTCGTGTTTTTTTTCTATGTTAGATAATTTATCATTCTTCTTCTTCTTTTTTTCTTATCTTCAAGTAGGAAAAAAATAGATCTATTAACTACAAGTAGTGTTAATCGAGCAATTTTCCTTGCCGAGGACAAAGTCTGTATATAGTATGCATCGTTTCAATAGCGTCATCGCTATGTTGAGTATAACATGCTGGTTTGACAACTACGTGAGAAAAAAAAAAGAAGAAAGTAACAATGGACGATATATTGTTACTGCACGTATTTGAATGAATGAGTTTCAAAAGGATTCTTTTTTTGTGTCACTTAAATATGCACATGCACGTCGAGGGACAACAAAAGAGAAGGGGAGAGAGAGAGAGAGAGAGAGAAAGGAAAATAAATCGGTGATGCAGAAGATTTCAAAACAAAACAGTCTTCTAATGCATTTATATAGGTTGGTTGGAAATTTACAAAATGAAATTAATGACATGTCCACCAACTATTTCTTCCACATTCTGATTTTTTTTATTAAAAAAGAAAAGAGAAAAAAAAACCTAGAATGGATGAATGATGATCAAAAGAATCCATTTAAAAAATTGAGAACCTCCACTATAAGAGAGCAAATGAATTGATTTTATTCTATAAATATATGAAATTTCTCAACCATACGTTTGTTTTATTATCTAACATATCACATAAGACCTAGTCAACATGCATCGAAGATATAAATAACTCGTTTTTTTTGGTAAATAAACGACAATCAATCAACAAAAATGTATGCAAACTGAAAGCTGTCATATTCATAGGCAATACATCAAATGATTTCGCTATTAAAACTAAAAAAGAAAAAGAAGAAGAACAGTTATGTTTAGATCGAACACAATAAAAAAAGAAAAAAAAAAAAAAAAAGCAAGAAGAATTTATTAATAATATTTAAAATTAACAATGTTGATCATTTGTTAATTGAATATTTAATTTTTTATTTTTTAAACTATCATCAATTAATTGACGCATTTGTTCAATATCTTTATTTGGTTGTTTACTTTCAATAAGTGCTGAACCAGATACAATCATATTTGCACCAGCTTGTGCACAATCTTCAATTGTTTTTAAATTAACACCACCATCAACTTCAATATGTAATAATTGTGGATAATTTTTTCTTAACCAACGTATTTTATCCATCATATCATTCATAAATTTTTGTCCACCAAAACCAGGTTCAACAGTCATTATTAAAACAACATCAATATCTTTAATAAAATCACTTAAAACAGTAACATCAGTTTTAGGTTTTATACCAAGTCCAACTTTCATATCAGCTTCTTTTATTTTTCGTATTATATCATAAATATTATCTGATGTTGTTGATTCAATATGAAATGTATATTGATTAGCACCAGCACCAGCCATTTCTTCAATCCATTGTTCAGGTTTTGATACCATCATATGAGCATCAAAATAAACTTTTGGAATATTTTTACGAAGACATTTTATAACAGGATGACCTATTGTTAAATTTGGAACAAAATGACCATCCATTACATCAAGATGTAAATAATCAGCACCGGCATTAAGAAGACGATGACTTTCTTCAGCTAATGCTGATAAATCAGCATTGAGAATAGATGGACCAATAAGTCCTTTTAATTCTTGTGGTAATGAATTCATATATCTAAAATAATTTTTATTCAATATTAAAGTTTTCTATATTTTAAAATTCGAAAATTTCACCTATTGAATTTTACAAAGACAAAAGAAAAGAAAAGAAATACAATCTATTCTAATTTTCTTTTCATTCAATGGTATAAGATTAATTGTTTATAGTTGGATAAAACAAGAACAATAAAATTGGTCTGTGTTAATTGATGAAGCACGAAAAGATATGATCGAAGATTTATATGGTGTTGAAAAAATCTATCGACTACTTTAGCTACAATACGTAGAAGAAAAACGTATGGTTGTAATTCAAAAATGAATAATATAGAGATATCTAGATAAAATATTTATTCTTATATCAGCTTGAAAGTACTCTAGACAGATAAAAAGAACAACGTAATAGAATCTGAATTTCGCATTGTTTCCGAATGTGGACTAAGAAATTTTCTGTTGATTTTTGGAAGATTAAAATTTTGTTTCATAGTTTTACTATTGAAATCGAAGAAGAAAAAAACCAAACATTAAACTTGATTAAGTTCTTTATTGTTTTCGAATAAGGATTTTTAACAAAGAAGTGTCATACATAAAACAAAACCAAGGTTTCATTTATATACAAATGATAATTGAATTCGAGATTATATTTTTCAAAGTATGTCAACTTGATAAATAATATATTTATTTATTATGTCGAATTCATTTTTTTCAATCTATTCATAATTTTGTTCATATTATCAAGTAAAAATAGACAGAAAGTATATGAACTCATATTCAACATAAAATTCTGATTCGAATTCATAGAATTTGATACACATTGAATTTTGTTTTATGGAATTTCTAAATTGAATATTGATCATAGTTACGTTTTTGTTTTCTTTTAGTGGTTAGTAGAGATGATTAGTTATTGATTGAAAAATTGATATTGATTATTTCTGAGATAGAAAAAAATGTTCTTATTGTTTTTCATAATA